TGCCTGAGCAGGGGGTTGGACTAGATGACCTCCAAGGTCCCTTCCAACTTTATTATTATTATTATGTTGTTACTATTATTATTGCTGTTACTATTGTTATTATTGTTGTTGTTATTATATTATTGGGTCTTCCTTGAGCAGAATTGGATTAGAAAATTGGATTAGAAAATATCCCAATTCTGGTAAAAAGGTGATAAATCAGCTGCATTTGGTAAATCAGAAGAAAGGCATTCCACGCTGCTGAGGCCACCTGAACCTCAACTAAACAATGCGTTTACAATTATCCTTAAACTGTAAACCTATTCTTTTAGCGTGAGTACAGACCATTCCATTACCAGCAGAGCATCATTCAACTATACAGATACTATGTCCTTAAATAGTATCTCTGTTTTGTCTAGAGTGTCGTCTTGTTGATCCTCATATAATCTGCTACCCTTCCACAGCACTATTTATTATATACTGAATATTACAACATCTCAGCTCACATCTCTGGATAACCACTTCCAGCAGCTTCATATAGATGTTAAAAAGCATAGAAGATAACATGGGACCATAAGAGACTCCAAAACCCAAATACTATGAGTCAGAAGAAAAACCTCCCAATACCTTCTTCTGGAAATGACCATCCAAGTAGGAGTAACACCAGGTTGAGATGGGCAGCCATAGAATGGAATAAATAAATAAAGCTTCTGCATCCTAATTCAGACAGCCAGTCCAGGAGGATATCATGGTCAGTGGTATTAAAAGCTGCTGACAGGTTCAAGAGGATCAGCAGAGTCACACTCAGCCTGTTCTTTTCCTGACACAGTTCACAAGATGATTACACCAGTTACTATTAAGTTTCTTGCTAAGTGGTTTGAAATGGATCTAGAAAATCAGTTTCAACCAAGACAACGTGGTCGATTAGCCACCCTAATACAAAGGGTGTACCTTTGTATGATTGCCTGTTATGTAACAATCAGCAATTAAAACTGTTAATATAATTGCTGGTGTAAAATTAAGGGAATTAGGCGGAGGTGGAGAAAGAATCACCAATTCCTTCTCAGGTTGTGCCAGATTTTGCTCCATTTATAATTAATTAATTAATAACAACAACAACAAAACAACAAAAACAACAATTAAATATAACAACAACCCAGAATCTCTTAAGATACAATAAAGCTCCCAAACTTTCTTCTCCTTGCTTTTCCTTACCTAGTTAAGAAACTGGACTTTTTTGAGTAATGACCTTACTAAACTTCAGCTAAACATGTTTTTATTGACCGATTTAAACAATTCATATAGCTGCCCATATCACAGTGACTCTAGATGATGAAAACCAAATAACACATTATAAAATGAATATCTAGAATAAACAGTGTACAAGGACTAAAATCATCCCATGTCTAGTCCAAAGACTGGAACTCACAAATTCTCAACCCTGCTTAATCTTCCAATCCAAAATCCTGAGGGAACAGTTAGGTCTTTAATGCCTTATGAAAGACCAATAGGGTCAAGACCATTCTCAGTCTCTAGGCTGACATTGTTCAAAGAGCAGATGTTGTGGCAGAGAAAACATGATTCCTAGGCCTAATAATATGTCACTATTGAATAGACAAGCTCTGGAGCATGCCCACTCTGCTAGTTTTGGTAGTAGGAGCAGAGATAATTGAAACAAGCAGTTCTACAGATAATGTGGCCCTCTGCTATGTAGGGCTTTATGGATGATCATCAGCCCCTAAAACTACACGAGAAGCCTTCTAGGAGCCACTGCAGCTCACAGAGCAGAGTAGTATACGAGCATATTGTGAAACTCCTAAAACTGTCTGTGTTACTGCATTCTGGACTAATTGTACTTTCCAAATTCTCTTCAAGGGCAACTCAGTGTAGAGTGTACTGTATTACAGTAGTCCAACCTCCTAACCTCCAGAAAACAGTTTAGTTTCTCAAGAAGAACTTCTTTTTCAGTAGGACTGTGAGTCCAGGAAGGATCAAAAACTGCTCATCCAGATTCCCAGAGCCTCCAGACATCAGGAAAAAACCCTCAACCATATTGCCTGGCTGATTTGAGGCAGAAATGTATAATTGACTATAGTCAATGTACTGGTGATGCCTTGCCTTATGTCTAAAGGTGACTTCACTCAGTGGCTTCATGTAGAGATTTAAAAAAAAAAATAGGGAGAGGGTAAAGCTCTAAGAAATCCCATGAAGCAGGGTCTTGTGTTCAAACTTTCCATACCCTTTCCCATCATCATAACTGGAATGGCCATGGGGAAATGAGGAAACCATTATAGTACTGTACCTCTTACAGGAAATACAGGCACATCCTGATTGTTCAAATCGATTGCAGATTTCTTTGCCCTGATGAAAATGTTCTGAAAACCAGAGAAGGTTGATAAATATCATGGTCTCTTTTTCACCATAACTGACAATATGTTTATAATGGAGAAGAAGGCTGAGGAAGTGTAAGCCAAGGATAGGATGTTCAAATCTATTTCACTTTTTACTGAGAGAAAGAACCATTGAAACAATGTAGTTGTTTGGAATTTTGAAGGCATGGCTTTTCTGTGGCCTCTACTGAATGTCCCTGCTTTTAAAATAGTATCTTGATACAGGTGGCTGCAATCCTTGAAGCTTTTAGAAAAGCCATTAAGATCTGGCTGTTTCCCCAGGGCCCAGGCTTTTGAGTGAGGATGAGCAGTATTCCTAACTGAATAAATTATAGCAAATTATAGTTATGGTTACTATTTTATTATTTCAGCAGGTGTTAGAGTGCAGCAGCAGCAGTTAGAGTGCAGTTAGAGTGCAGTACTGCAGGCCACTTTAGCTGACTGTGTTCAGCAGGTCAGCGGTTCAAATCTCACCGGCTCAAGGTTGACTCAGCCTTCCATCCTTCCGGGGTAGGTAAAATGAGGACCCAGATTGTTGGGGGCAATGTGTATATAATATATATATATATATATATATATATATATATATATATATATATGTAGGTCTTTGGTTGCTCGGGTTTTCTCCCGCGTAAAATTGGATTTTTAAAATTCCAATTTTACGCGGGAGAAAACCCGAGCAACCAAAGACCTACATACAAATACCCGCGAAAACCTCAGAAAACATATATATATATATATATATATATATATATATATATATATATATATATACACACACATTGCTTACTGGTGTACACTGCTTAGAGAGTGCTTGCACTTAAAGCGGTATATAAGTCTCATAAATAAATAAATAAAATATCAGTTGCTTTATTTTGTGCTTGTTGATAATTTTTGTATACCGTCCAGAATCATGTTGAGTTGGGCAGACATATAAAATGCTCTAAATAAATAAATTAACCATCATGAAATATTATGGAAATAATAAATGTCCTTAGATGTTGGGATCAATGAGAGATTTCCATTTACTTCATCTTATACATTTTGGTTTATTTCTTGCTTTTTAAACCAAAAGTACATTACATATGTATACAGAATAGACAAGAATGGACAGATCTCTGTCTTTCCAAAGCACAGGCCTTTCCAGAATGATTTTGAAAGTTGCCACATCACATTATACCGTATAAAATCATTCTCATAATACTTCAGGAAGCCTGGAGTACACATTTGTAAAATATGAGCAGGTAAGGACAATAGGAACTGGGTAACAATGTAGTGAGACCACTGAAGTATGCAAAGTTGGGGCATCTGTCCAGATGCGGTTTCTTTTTCCATGTTTTTTGAGAGGATGGCATATTTTCTTACATTTGTTTTTTTAGTGTGTGAAGCCCGAACAATATTTTGTTCTTCAATTGAAAATATATAGGAAATTTTATCACCATTTCTCAATACAAATATTATAGGATATGAGTTTGGAAGCTTCATGAAGTTGATAACCCACAATACTATATTAAATGCTTTATACTGAAGTGTTTTATATTGCTGTTAAACAATCTGTGACCCATTGGATAAACTTTCATAGATATTTCCTTACCTAAACAGAGAAACAGAATGACCATGGGCAGGCAAAAAGGAGTGGGAGTGTGAGCAATTACCACCTTCCTGCTAGCTTCTCCATTGATGTTGCTTGTGAGAAGTGGCAGGGAGTGTAAGAAATCAGACCTCCGTCTCATCCTTTACTGACCCATGGAACTGTATGCCACTTTGCTGGGGGAAGGGGGAACAAAGGGAGCCATGAACCATGAGAAAAACTAACCCTGCTCCCTAACCAGGTCTGTCCCCAAGGGCCATCTCCCTACACAGGGAGGAAGAGGACTCACCCATTCAGAGATTTCAAATTTCAACCTCAGTTCCAAAGCAGCCAATCGCCACCAGTTGATTGGATGCAGGAACTAGGCAGGCAGGAAAGAAGGCAAGGATACAGCCCTCCCATTTTCCCTTGTGCCACACAATCTATGGGTTTCTGGGAAATGTAGTCTGATGGCACTGTGGTGCCGAAGCAGCCACAACCTTTCCATGAATATTGGCATTCTATAAGTAGGTTCATTTGAATTATCTTGGTTCAATCATTGTTGCCCTATAACTTCCAAATTCACCCAGCTGAACAGTACAAACAGATTCAAAGGTTTAGTATTATATAAACATGTAATTTCTATTTAGATTTCATTAGCAAATTGGTTATAAATTTGATTATAAAATGTTTACTTCTCTAACAATTAATTATTACAAAAATTAACATTATATCCCAGAAAAATGTGAGAGACCTGTTTATAACATGAGGTGGGAAGATCTCAGTTCAAAGTTTATCTAAACCATGACTTTATGAGATGGGGTTTTATATTTAATTTGTTTTCTCTTTTTTGTTATTTGTTTAAAATGAATAACATTTTTGTAAGATTGTTAGGGAAAGTTTATGAAGGTGCTAATTAAGTAGTTGGGGAATATTATATAAAAATAATTATATTATAGTGAATAATATGTGACTGGTGTAAATTAGTCTTATAAGCTATTAAAATGTGAAAATACCTCTGAGTCTTGTCTTAATTAACTCAGTTTTCCCCCTTCTTTCAGAATTTTTGTGGATGCTTCCTTTATTCAGAACTTGGAAGAAAACCTGCCAGTTTTTAATGGCGGCTGCAGCTGCTGCTGGATGATCATCTGAAACTCTTAATAGAAAAGAAAATATTGCTGGATGGTTTTCTGTGACTTTTTGTGAATGAGTGAAGGAAGAAATGCCTCTACCTTTTGGGCTGAAGTTGAAACGAACTCGACGCTATACAGTATCTAGCAAGAGCTGTTTGGTAGCCCGTATTCATCTACTTAACAATGAGTTTGTGGAGTTCACACTATCGGTGGAAAGCACTGGGCAGGAAAGTTTGGAAGCTGTGGCACAGAGACTTGAACTTCGAGAGGTAGGAAAGGTGTCTGTTGGCATCTCCATCTTGGAATATAAGAGGATTAAAAACTAAATTGTAGTAGGTCAGATTCAGTTTTACATTTACCCCGTTACTATTACTATTGTCTGCTGTGGCTGGAAGCAGTTATTCAAATGTATTGAACAAAGAGCAATCTGTCACACAATTATTTTTGACGGAAAGCAGCAGGAATGTGAATCTGACCTTTTATATACAAAGCAAAATGGGTATTCAGTCAGTGATGTAAAATTCCTCTATCATCTTTATGCACAACGGCTTCTCCAGCATTAGCATTCAGTTTTGACATTATTCGTTGCCCAGAGATGGTCAGCTATAGAAATTGAATAAATAAATAAAGCATTCACATAAACAAAACCGGATTATGCAAATTAAAAAATATCTCTGCAATTGTGCCCACATATAGCATGTAGCAAAAGCTGTAAAGATTCTTCACTAAGAACGGATTGTGCTATAAATACCTGAGAGATTACACTTAGATTGCCTAGAATAGCAACTAGATAATATGAAAAACAAGCAGAGAAATGGAAATTAAAGTATTCTTAACTTTAGCAAGAGCAATTTCATTGAAATTAAGTATTGCCAAGAGATAGTACCTGCATAGTGATTATAATATACATCTAGCAAAATTCTACTTCATATTTACACTCTCCAATGAAACAACCTGACATGGTTGTTTGTATTGTCCTGAGTTGATTGTGGAAATTGAAAAAGCCTAGTTATTATAAGTACATAATTACTAATCCAACCATTGGACAAAATGTTGTACTAGTATCCCGTTCGTATCCCATTCAGTTTTCCAACCAATGAGCCACCTGTATTTTTTTCAGCATATTCAACTCCCACTCTGAACAGATTATAGACTGATGTTGATAACACCATATGTGTTCAATATAATGGGTGTGGTTCATTAGATTTATTTGCCTCTGAAGAGTTTCTGTTTTTGTAAGGGTAAATATTAGAGTTATCTATCTCTTGTTTTTTCAGTAATTTATTTTTTGTTAGCTAATTCTGGACATATGTTTGATGTTCATTTCTTGGATAATAATGTAGAAACTTAGATGGTTTTCAGTTCTTCATATTAAGGCTGGGATTTGCACAGTCTCCATTGTCCCTTCACTCTAGTGGGAGGAAAATATGCTGATTCACAACAAAAGGTCTCATTTAGGTCTCTTTATACAGTAAGGCTGAGCAGGAGTCCCTTGGTGTGGCACGAGTGTTTTGTTACAAATTAATACATGGACCAGATCAACTGTATATGGCATAATACTGGTATCAGTCTCCAGACAGGATGCTTCCTTTGTGTGGAAATGTTTTCCACACTAAAAAAAAAAAGAATTTTAGGCAGCCTTGCTCAATGCATGGTGAAATTGGAGGGCAATCTGAATCTACTGCAGAAGTTATTGTCCATAGTTTCTGTTGGACAGGTTAATAATTCTTTACTTTCTTCTGTTTTTTTCTCAGGCAGGCATTCATGATTTTCATGTAGATCCATTGTGTTATAAAACTATAACATTGGGCTAAGAGATGGTGCTAGATCATGTGAGCTTATTGTTTTAGTAGAGATTTGAATTTGAACCTCACATATTCTAGTACAATATTCTAATTGTTACACTGTTAAAATCCAGATTTAGGGTATTAAAACCAGACTATAAAATTTGAAAGGGTTCCCCTCCTTCATCTCAGTAAGCAATCTTGCAGAGATTGTTTTGGAAACAAAGTATGGATAGGAAAGGGAAATAGGCAACCCCCAAATATATAAGCAACATTCCTCACAATATTAATTCAAACTGAAAATATGTCTATTATCTATGTTCATTTAAAAAAGCTTTCTATTTTAATCACTCTCCCACGTTACATAATTTGGAAGACATTTTGATCATCTTCCAAGTCTTGGATGTTTCTGAGGAAACCTTTCCAGATCAGTATCTGTATACTAAACCTTTATGTCTGTAATCTTTAACTGGGAGAAACTGTGTACTATAAACCAACAATTTTTCAACCAAAGTACTTCAAGTGGGCTTACAGAATTGTCCAAAATCCAGAATCCATGATTCCTGTATAACTGAAATTTGGTAAATTTGATAAAACATTTTATGACATAAACCTATCATAAAATATCTCTGAATATCTTCCTGAATTTTGAAAACCTTTTTCAGTGAAGGCAGTACATTAAAAGTTCTTGCCATTGTTGATATCATTGTAAGAAAATATCTCTGAAACAATGACCTAACAAGTCATGGGTTGTCTAGTTTTCTATTATAACCAGATATTTTGCCTGCTTGATGAGATTTGATTTTAAATTTCATTTTATTTCTACTTTATCCTAAGGAGCCTAGGAAAGCATACCTTTAAACTACAAGATAGATTAGGCTGAGGAGAAGCATTAGCTGAAGGTCATTCAGTAAACTTCATGACTTAATGACTAGGTTCATTGTTGTTGTTGTTAATTGCGAAGTCGTGTCCGACCCATCGCGACCCCATGGACAATGTTCCTCCAGGTCTTCCTGTCCTCTACCATCTTCTGGAGTCCATTTAAGTTCACATCTACTGCTTCAGTGACTCCATCCAGCCATCTCATTCTCTGTCGTCCCCTTCTTCTATTGCCCTCAATCTTTCCCAGCATCAGGCTCTTCTCTAGTGAGTCCTTCCTTCTCATTAGGTGGCCAAAATATTTGAGTTTCAACTTCAGGATCTGGCCTTCTAAAGAGCAGTCGGGGTTGATCTCTTTTAGGACTGACCGGTTTGAATGCCTTGCAGTCCAAGGGACTCGCAGGAGTCTTCTCCAGCACCATAGTTCAAAGGCCTCAATTCTTTGGCACTCAGCCTTTCTTATGGGACTAGGTTCATACATTCTGCTAAATTTTGATTTGTTTGAAACATGATACATTACATAGCTTCACACATAATACTAATTCTTAAACCATCATTGACAATTGCAGCTGGATTAATATATCACGTTTTGACAAACAGGAAGACACTATAATTGAAGTTTTAGGAGCCTCTTTGGAGCATAGAAAATGGAAGACAGTGGGACATGGATAATGTCCTTGGAATGAACATTGAAATACTAAGTAAGCCAGGGAGGCTACAAACAGGGTAAATAATTGGATGGCCTCTCTTTCAGGTTGCAGCCTAACTAAGGAAGTCAATATTATATCAATGATGATCCCTTCCAAAACCCTGATCTTTAATTCCAGAACACCAACTGATAAAAGGACTATTATCTATTATTTAAACATTGATGAAAACAGCTGAACTAGAAACCTGACTGACAGAAGGAGTGACAGTTCATCCTGCTGCTCACCTTTGTCTACTTGGGCTATTCTGTTCTACAACAGACTAATAATGATAGAGGGATGGCTTGGTCATGGTCTACATCAGTGTTTCTCAAATTCAGCAACTTTGTAGACATGTGGACTTCACCTCCCAGAATCGACAAGCCAGCATGCCGGCTGGTGGATTCTGGGAATTTAATTCACATACCTTAAAAGTTGCTGAGGTTGAAAAAAACTGGTCTACAAACATTCCATCTCACTGACAAAATGCTTGACATTCTGCCATTTTTCTGCCATTTTCAGCATGCTGATAGGTTTGGATATAGATTCTGTTACTGAAAAATCCCCAGCATTTTGTAATAGTATTCGTGCAAGTTAATATCGTTTATCTTGCAACTAAAATATTGTATTATCTGACTGGAAAAGAGTTTACTGTTCTCCTTTGAATTTGAGTAAGTTGGAGCTTAGGACTTTCGAAAGTAAGACATTTTAGTTGCACTTTATATTCCATATCCACATCTTTTTTTAAAACAAAAATATGATATGTTACAAAGACATTTCTCAGCTTATGACCCAATGACCGTTTGCAGTCACGATGGTCTTGCACTGGGTGCTTTGTGGCCCATAAACAGCCATAAAGGAAAGGAAAGGAAAGGAAAGGAAAGGAAAGGGTAATACTTAAAGGAAGTTAAACTGGTACTAACATCAAATATTCTTGGTGTTACATTAAGATACATTTATTTACCCAAACATATGAAATGATTTTATAGCATTTATCTGCAATTTATAGATTTTGTTACAATCCAGGATTGCTTGTTTTATTTTGATTGTAGTACTCATATCTTTGAATCCATTCTGATGAATAACATACTAAAAGTGAAATAAGAAATATAAACCATGTTTATCAGTAGATGAGGTATAATCTAAATCAAGACTGATATAGGGATGTTGAGATGGTCTCCTGCCTTGACACATTATTAATAAATGTATTGTGAACTTGCAGACCTTAGTACTTCTAGGTGCCCATTAAAATCTCTCTTTACAACATGGTATTTGAAATATTATGAAGAGAACACATTGATGTAATAATAATAGTAGTAAAGTTGGAAGGGATCTTGGAGGTCATCTAGTCCAACCCCCTGCTCGGGCAGGAAACCCTACACCATTTCAGACAAATGGCTGTCCAGTCTCTTCTTAAAAACTTCCAGTGTTGGAGCATTTACTGCTTCTGGAGGCAGGCTGTTCCACTGATTAATTGTTCTCACTGTCAGGAAGTTTCTCCTTAGGTCTAGGTTGCTTCTCTCCTTGATTAGTTTCCACCCGTTGCTTCTTGTCCTGCCTTCAGGTGCTTTGGAGAATAGCTTAATTCCCTCTTCTTTATGGCAGCCCCTGAGATATTGGAACACTGCTATCATGTCCCCCCTTGTCCTTCTCTTCGTTAAACTAGACATACCAATTCTAGCAACCGTTCCTTATATGTTTTAGCCTCCAGTCCCCTAATCATCTTTGTTGCTCTTCTCTCTACTCTTTCTAGAGTCTCAACATCTTTTTTACATCGTGGTGACCAAAACTGGATGCAGTATTCCAAGTGTGGCCTTACCAAGGCACTGAAGAGTGGTATTAATACTTCACGTGATCTTGATTCTCTCCCTCTGTTAATGCAGCCTAGCACTGTGTTGGCCTTTTTGGCAGCTGCAGCACACTGCTGGCTCATATTTAGGTGATTGTCTACTAGGACTCCGAGGTCCCTCTCACAGTTACTACTATTGAGCATGGTGCCACCTATGCTATACTTGTGCATTTGGTTTTTCTTGCCTAAATGTAGAACCTTGCTTTTTTCACCATTGAATTTCATTTTGTTAGTTAGTGCCCAGTGTTCAAGTCTTTCCAGATCCTTCTGTACCTGAAGCCTGTCTTCTGGAGTGTTGGCTATTCCTGCCAGCTTGGTGTCATCTGCAAATTTGATGAGTTCCCCATCTATCCCTTCATCCAAATCGTTGATGAAGATGTTGAAGAGTACTGGGCCCAGAACAGAGCCCTGGGGCACCCCACTACACACTTCCCTCCCCACATATTGTATGTCTATATTCTAGATTTATTTCTAGATTTGTATTCTCTGTTTTGAACTTTGGTTCAAATTAGTAAAAAATATGTCAGGAATTAGTCAAGAAAATTCATTTTTTGTCTCTGTGTGGCTTATTTTATTACAACTGCTTATTATGAGCTTTAAGAAAATGTTCTGGAAACAGATATTTCTAGCAGGTCCAGTATCTTGGACTATTTATATCCAACATTACATGTTTCTAATTAGTTGGAAAAGTTAATAGCCTTATAAGTAAGCAAGCCACTGAGTCCTGACATTTTTGAACTACTGCTTGAAGTAATTTGCATTATACAATCATAAACACTTGCTTCTAGAATATTAGGACTACATCACATAGTAATCCTTGCTGAAAGATAAACAGATTCCTGTGGTCATTTGAACTTAAAAGCTAGTTGTAGGAATTAAGGTTTTGCCCCCCTTGGTTTGTCTTTGCTAATCCTCCTTCATCTGAGGCTGCTTGAATCAATCCCCAGCAGCTGGTGTTTTGCATTACTTTTGTGAAGCAATTTGTTATGAAGTTTCAGCTGTCTAGATAGCGTGAAAATATCTTAACCATACTTGGAAATATTTTATGTTCCCAGCTTCAAGAAAGATTATTTTAAAAAATCCATCTAGTTTGAGTCTTCTTAGTTATCAGGATTAAGTCAATCCATTGTAACAGTCTTAACACTATTATCAAAGAACGAGTCAGTGCAATATTATGCTATATGTAAAGCACATTTAAATATATACATTGTTTCTACTATATTTCCTGTCTACAGTAATTACCCCTTAATATTTGTCTGGAACCTGGTGTGCATTTTTTTTACTTTTATGTAAAGTTTGCTTGTGTGACCATTCACACATTGCCCTTCACATGCTTTGCAGCCAGCAAAAGTTGTAAGCGCAGGTATGGTTCACTTAATGACTGTATCACTTCATTTCATGATCAAAGGGCAAATAAGATGTAAGCCCAGTCACGGTCACATGATTTTCAGCTGAGTGACCAAGTTGCTAGTCCCACTAGTGATCGCTAAGCAAGGACTAGCTGTAACGAGATAGAGAGACATGGTGCTATCTGTATCTTGCTTAGCAAAATCAGATTGCTATGGTAAGAATCACAATCTTTGTTTGAACAATTGACTGTCTTAATGCAGAGCAAGTGTGGATACACACAAACTCTACAGGAGCTAGACATGGCTGAGAAATGCTAAAAAAGATCCTGCATATCATTTAAGAAGTGTAAGTGAAGTCAAATAGATAGAGTGTTGTAGATTACAAATTAAGTTGGGTTTGCAAATTTTGCTGCACCACCATGCCCCCAAATCACAAAGGAATCCATGTGAGAAGAAATACACCTACCCTCTTTTCATTCTGTATAGCAAATGAAACAATTATAGAGTCCTGTTGCCTAACAAAACAGAGCCAGTTTGTTGCAATGGTTAAGGCATCATGCTAGAAACCAAGAGAGAGTGAATTCTAGTCCTACCTTAGGCATGAAGCCACTGGGTAACCTTGGGCCAGTTTCTCAGCCCTAGGAAGCAGCCAGTAGCAAACACTTCTGAAATATTGCCTAGAAAACTGTAGGGACTTTCCAGGCAGTTGTCTGGAATTGAAAACTAGCTCCCAAAAAAATAAAAAAACAAACACTTTCCATTTGAAGTAAAAAAAACAAAGCAACTAAATTCAAAACCATACCACTCAATGGAAAGGATGAGCCTGACAGTCTGTACAACTCCTGAAATTCAGGTTGTGCTTTCAAGATAGCTATTCTCTTCCCTTCTCCTATCCCTTATTTTGGAACAATATCTTTACAGCAACAGCTATGTGAGATCCTGACCTGTCCAAGCAGAATGGGAACAAACTCTTGTCAGCGATTCGGTCCCAGCTGCGCATACTATAAGGCAGGGATCCCCAACCCCCAGTCCAGTCCATGGACCGGTACCGGGCCACAGCATACCAGCAACCGGTCCACACAAACAAGCAAAGCTCCATCCGTGGGATGCAGGCAGCACACAAAAGCACACACTCTCCGGTCTGTGGAAAAACCTTTCTCCACGGAACCGGTCCCTGGTGCCCAAAAGGTTGGGGACCTCTGCTATAAGTCATTCAAGTCTCTATCCCTGCAGCATTGTGCCAGAGCCCTTCTAGGCCATCTTCCTAACAGTGATCCAGTCAGCTTGGGCTTGGAGGGCTAGATCTCCATGGATCTGTGTTGAAGCCCTGTCAGATCAGATGATCTGCCTGGAGAAATGTCTTGATTGATTGGGAGCAAACCTTGTACTCCAAAACATTTTTGGCACCCCCCAATAAATCTGCTCATGAACATTGCCCACTAAAATGTTTGTACAAGGCAGATATAAACATAAGACAGATATAAGCAGGGCTTTTTTTCTCATAGAACGCCCAGAATGGAGTTCTGGCACCTTTTTTGGATGGAACCTTGTAGGGTAGGCAAGGCGGGTTGTATGACGTGTATGAATTCCGGCACCTTTTTTTTTTTTTTTTTTAGAAAAAAAGCACTGAATCCATCATTCCTTTTAGACAGAATTGTGATTTTTCAGTTGTACTTGTTGAAGTACAGCTCCTAGTACCTCCAGCTAGCCATTGCCAATTATGAGGAATGCTAAATAATTTGTGAGAGATTCTTCTCACACTGATAAAGAGTCTGTAGATATTAAAACAGGGAACACATGCAGACTTCTTCAGGGGAGAGACAAGTTTCCAGCCTACTGCATCGAAACAAACATGAACAAATGATCAAGTGTTTTGCTTGTCTCAACTGCCTATATGTAAGTACCTCACTTGAAAAGTAATCACTGGAATTTGGGGGGTTATAACTTTTAACCTTCCTTCCAATAAACATGTTTCACAGAACTCTGAGATTGTTTCTTGAATTGATTGTTTTGAAGCAGCCAAGAAGAAAGTCTGACACAGTTTCAGCATTAAGTGGAGAGCCATAACCCCTAATCCCATTCCGCTCATTATGAGCTACTTATGTCTATAGAAAGTTCTGAAGTGGAAGAAGGATTTCACACAGATCTTGATAACAAATTGGCTGCTAGTGTCATGAGGCAAGGGAACTTTTCATGTACTTTATTTCTTGGAGGAGGAAGATTCATGTCAATTAGAATATTTTAAGTTATACAATCATACTACTGGCAATAAGGTTGTGATTTACACAAGGTAATTATTTATATAGTATCATACATAGTATCATGTTTTGCCCATTTTAGGTTTGGTTAAATTGTGAATTCATTTCAACAGGATTTAAATATACTGATTGGTGAAGTTCTATATGCAAAATATTCATTAACTTGACAGATTTAGCAGAATGCTAAGAATCTTGCTTAATTTTCAAAGTATTATATACATTTATTCTTGGTTTTGAAGGACCTAGAACTAAGAATAAATTTCCTGATAGTTAGAACAATTAATCAATGGAATGACTTGCCTCCAGAAATTGTGGGTGTTCCAACACTGGAGCTTTTAAAGAAAAAACTGGACAACCAATTGTTTGAAATGGTATAAGGTTTTCTGATTAAAGAGAGGGATGGATTAGAAAACCTCCACAGTCCCTTTCAACTCTGTTATTCTGTTATTCTGACATATTCCATAAGAAATAAATAACATTGTACTACTAGCTTTTACACATTGTTTTTTCCCCTGTGTTCATGTATTTTACACTAGTTCAATCCATTGTTAAGCATTCCCACCACCAGTATTCTTAGATTGAACATCTATGCCATTTGTTGAGCAGATAGGAAACATTGCAATTAATGAAACATGATTATGTAAAAATCTGTCTAGGGTTGATTTACTTCCTGGAAACTGAATGAAGAGTAACTTGTTCAAATTAAGATCTTACAATAGCATTATTCTTGAATGCTTAAAATATTTCTAGAGTTATGTCATGTTTCTGTAGGACTGGTATATGTCTTCTGCTAATGTTAGAAGTTTGTTTAGACATGATTAAAATGTTATTGTCTTTTAATATAGTTCACACTGCAGAATTCTTAAATGCAATTAGAGCACCTGAAGCAAAACACACAATTGCAGCTATGCATGTGCACCAGAGACAGCATATTTTATTCATGTGGAAAGTCCTGCTATGAATTATCTAAGCATCCAAAACTGATACTTTTTCCTTTATAATTCTAGATTGCTATAAAGAGAAATGAGTATGTACCATGTCTATTTTGTAAAGACAAGAATATTTTTTTAGGGGCTTTTTTAAATAATAAAGATCTGTGTTTGAATTGATTTGTTTTACATGATGATCATGCTGCATATATAAACATGAATTAAAGATATGCATTGTTCTATGCTAATTTCTTAGTTTTGTTTATTGTATATAAAAGATTAAAAGGACAATTTCTACTCTTTGTGATTTACCTTCTTTTATTTTTTTTAACATGTAACATGGTTCCTTTTCATGTATTTCTTTTAGATCACCTATTTTAGCCTTTGGTATTTCAACAAGCAGAACCAGCGCAGGTGGATAGACTTGGATAAGCCTCTCAAAAAGCAACTGGATAAATATGCATTGGAGCCAACCGTATTCTTTGGTGTGGTGTTTTATGTGCCTTCTGTCTCTCAACTTCAGCAGGAAATTACCAGGTGAATCTTGTAAGCTTTCATGGAATAATTCTAAATGTAAAGTAACTAAATTTTACATGGCCCCATTGAATCTGATATCAGTTGTTTCTATATATTTTTGCTATAGACTAGTCCTCCTGAATCTGAACAAAAATCTTCCTGATGAATATATTATTTCTTTCATGGCCAGTTATTTTAGCTCAGATAAGCACAAATAGATTTCTTTTGGAAGGTAATAAGAGTTGTTTCCCTACTAAGCTGCTGAGTGAAGTCTCAGATTTGATATTGAAGTTCTTGGTTGCTTTTTGTCCTACAAAGTAGGAGAAAATATACTGGGATGGCACTATTTGGGAAACACTGGTTTACATGGCATGGGACAGCTTAAGAATCCAAAGTCAGTTATTTCCTAGACTTAACTTAGAGTTGTCAAGTACTGAATGCGAACAAGCATTTGACTGGGTTTTTTTTTTTCAAGTTTTGCATAACTTTGTCATTGAACATCAATTTCATGGATGTTCTTTTCATAAAAGGAGAAAGGGAGATGATCTGAGTTAACAAGCAGTACCAAAATTTGAAATCCCTATTTATTTCACAAGCATAGTCATCCAACATGTGATGTACCGGTGTGAAAAAAGAAATAAACAGTTGGAAGTATGATTGAGTTGAAGCAATTTACCATGGAGAAGTGGACTGCTATTCCTATTGAGCAATGTGAGAGATGATCACTGTTTGTAGGAAATTATCTATATACTACTAAAACTTTTGTGTTTGTAACTTTCAATTGGGCAAAACTGTGTGTTATCAGGCAACAATTTTTGAATCAAGGTAATTCAAATGGGCTAATTTACAGAATGTTTCAAAATCTGGGACCTATTACTCTTCTGGGATTGAAATTTGGAAAAAATGTGGCTACTTCAGGGCTGCCATGCCCCAGTGTCATTTCTGGTGCTTCCTACCAACTTCTCACAAGAAAAGCCAATGGGGAGGCTGGCAGGAAGACTGAAGTCCCAGGCCAGCAGACACGTAAGTAGCTGCTATCAAGTGGGGGGAATGAGTGGGGGGATGCATGGAAGTGGCTGTGCAGGTCAGAGAGAATGTGTGAAAAGTGTCATGCAACTTGGGGAGTATTTGCTGGGGTGTGTGAAAGGTACCATATAGGTTGGGGAGGGTGCACAAGAGACATAGCATGGTTTGGGGAGGTTGTGTGTAGTGTGTAAAAGGTGCCACATTGCTTGGGGTAGTTGCACAGCAGTGCAGTGCGGGTTGGAGAGGTGTGTCGGTGTGAGTGATGGCACGAGGGCTAGGGATGCCTGAATAAGTAAGTAAATAAATATCTCTGAAGGATGACCCAGCAGGCTATGGGTTGTTTAGTTGCTAGTAAATATGATATAAGTAACTGAATCTATGGGATTTTGGGGAACTTTTTGTTACTAGCACACTGTATGTTGAAGAGACTTCAATATCAGATCTGGAACATCCTTCACCAGTTTAGATTATATAACAATTTTATAGAATAGTCAGCCATGTATATAACTCTTTATCTAGTTCAAGCTCAGACATGAAATCTGAATCTGTCGGAAGAATTTAATAGCAAAGCACAGTAACAGATTTAAGTAATGCTTCTTCTTCAAGGGAAAAGTAATGAAGGATGGAATTAGAAAAGGCTTAAAAAATAGAAGTACAAAGGAAGAAATGGTAATGTAGACTAATTGGTAAATTAGTAGCAGTGTAATGGTATTATCAGAAGGAAAGAGAATATGTGTGACTATTGGAGGATCTGTGAATAGAGAAAAAGTTTGCTGCACTGAGATCCTGGTATATGAATTAAGGATTTAATGTCAGATGGGGATCATTACTTTAATAGTTCCCCTTGTTTATTTATTATTTAGATACAAGGGAAGTTGGCTTCTGCATAGTCACACTACTGATTCCAAAATTACTAACTTGTACAGTCAGCAGTTCCCTGGCGTCTCACATACTGATTTTTTCTTACTGTCTGCTGCTTCATTTTTTTAAAATGGAAAAACCATGGACTGAATCTGGAACCTTCTGCATATATTCCTCTACTAAATTACAGTGTCTGGCTTACCATATATCATATCATGTACATATATCAGCTTATATAATATTATTCATTTTATTTATATACCCTGCTTTTTCCAATATGCTGAAAGTGTTATAGATACTTCTTCTTCCATAGAATCATATCAGCAAAATAGATAACTTCAGGCCCCAATTTGCTTAAAAGCTAAATTGATGATAGCTGAGAAATAGAGGCATCTTTAGGTATAGGCATATAGGTATAATCACAGAATGTTATTGACTATATGCATTTTCATGAATCGGAGGCATGTGAAAAAACATTTTTCCCCATAGGTACCAGTATTACCTACAACTAAAGAAAGATATCTTGGAAGGAAACATACCTTGCACGTTTGAGCAAGCAATTCATCTTGCTGGGTTTGCTGTTCAAGGTAATTTCCACGCTTGCAATCGCGTTTAGCTTATTTCGGAGGAAGAGATTTGTATCATTGTTTGAATGACAGTGCCAGAAGGTCATAAAAGCTGGTTACATGACCCCGGGACACTGCAACTGCCATAAATATGAACCAGTTGCTAAGCTTTTGAATTTTGATCATGTGACCATGGGGATGCTGCAATGATTGTAAGTGTGAAAAACAGTCATAAGTCACTTTTCTCAGTGTCCTTGTAACTTTGAATAGTCACTAAATGAATTGTTGTAAATCGAGGACTACCACTCTTGAAGACTACCTGGAAACTTCAGATGGTACAGGATGCAGCCTAACCCTAACTCTCTTTGTACTAATAGGAATGTTTCAACATATTCATATAATACCACCATTATGGGCCCTCTACTAGTTGCCAGTTTGTTTCTTATTGCAGTTTAGTAGCTGGTTATAAGTTATACTTTCCTATACAACTCAGAAATTGGGTATTGTTGAGACTGCTTCCTGCCTATCCCAAGATACTGTATGTTGAGAAAGCTTGCTAAGAGCTCCTCATGAATCACAGCAGGAAAATTGGAAGCAGTCATTTCCTGCCAGACCTCCTTCCTGTGGAACCATTTTTTTTCCCAGAAATAAGATCAGCTTCCTTTTAGGAAACTTATGAAAAAGTGATTCCTTAAGGTTTTGGAGAATATAGATAAAGTATTTATCTGAAGTGCTTGTGGGCATTTTTTATTGTTCTTTTGTTGTTTTTATTGAGTTAAATGTACATGTTTATGTATCTGTATGATTTTTTTTCTGTGTGGTTGATTTTTTTTTTTGTTATATAGTTTTGTAGTGTGCTCAGATTTACTTGAGTGAAGCAGCAAAAACACTTGTATAAATCAACAAATAAATAAGACATACCCCCACCTGGTCTGCAAAAATCTAGATGACCACTAGATGTCAGAATATGGAATATCTTTTTGTATCTTTTTGCCACTATCTAGTAGTTATCACTGGTGTGAGTCAGTGGGCTTTAGTTTGAGAACAGCATGTTCTCAAAACGCTCAGTCACCTGGTATCTCAAGAAGTTCATAATTTTAATAGTAATAATAATGTTGCAAGTATGCCCTGATTCTGATCTTTGAATTGTTGGCTGTATGAAGATTCCTTTTAAATCAATAATATTTTTGCATGGGTGTTAAATATTATAGAAGAGATTGACAAAAAAAAGATGAATTGTAGGCATGGGAATGGGGAGCTATGAATATTCATTTCATTTTCTGTTATACTTTACATGCTCAGAGCAATGTTAGTTTTGTCAGTGCGATAGAAAAAAATACACCACAATAGTTTATGTGACAAACATTCTGTCTTTTGTATTTACCCCAGCTGACTCTCAAATTATAGAGATTCAGTAAATAATCTCTATTTACTTCTATATCATGAAAGAATATAGCTTTCTACACTTCTGTTTCTAGATAAGAAAACTGGAAGTTGTAATGTATCCATTTGTATTGTTTATATGACTTCTGGGAGTTTGGATAGGAATTTTCTCAATGCATGCAATAATTACTTGTGGTCTATTGCTCATCTGTGAAATAATGTTTCATTATTAACAGAATTACTTTCCAACAGAATTGTATGTTAAGTATTTCATTTCTGCCTATTTCCTTTTAATTCCTCAGCTGATTTTGGGGATTATGACCAGTATGAATCACAAGAATTTTTACAGAGATTCGCCTTGTTTCCTGTGGTAAGGATGGGCCAGTTTTTCTTGCCTTTGTCTCATGTTTGGAGATATTTAAAAGATTAATTTAAAAAAAATGAAATCAGTCCTGCATGCTGATGCAGGTAGTCCTTGACTTACGACTACAACTGAGAGCAAAATTTCTGTTACTAAGCAAGGCAGTTGTTAAGTGAATTTTGTCCATTTTATGACATTTCTTGCCACAGTTGATAAATCGCTGAAGTTGTTAAGCTAGTTACACAGTTGTCAAGTGAATCTTATACAAGTTGCTATGAGTGTATTGGTTTGATGACATACATACATAAATAGCAGAAAGAAAGGCAGATGGTATATGTTCGTACTTTTAATTAACACCTTACAACAAAAAGAGTTTAGGATGTCGACAATGGATACAGGAATAAGCACAATGCTTTGTTTTCCATTTTTAAGGGTTGGTTGCAAGATGAGAAGATGTTAGAAGAAGCAACTCAGAAAGTGGCACTACTCCATCAAAAATACAGGTATCGGTTCTGAATTAATGACATTGTTTCAAATCTGAAAGTTGTGGCATACTGAATTGTTGCTATAGAATAGGGAATTGTTTAAATTAGGATTGATGATGAGAAATACAGTTCCTATGTTAACAGAAATCCGCTTTGTTAACACAACATCTTTCTTCTGGCCCCGTGATTGAAATCTGGTGAATCTATTTATCATTCTTTTGAAGTAGTAGCTACATCAAAAACACTGTAAGCTTACAGTAGGTTTAACATGTATTTTAAACTGTGATCCTGACAAATGAATGTAGGGGAAAAAAGTATTTCATCTTTTCAGCATCTTTGCCCTGCTTGATGTGGTTCTTTGGCTACTGAAAACCTCTGTTTATTAATAGTTGTAAGCATTTAATACAGCTTCCATTGATCAGAAAGTCATGATAAATAGTGATAATCAACTCCGGTTTAAAGGGAAAGAGTTTTGCTTTAATAATATTATTATACTTACAAACTGTTTAAATATGGAGCATGTATGCCTTAGAATAATTAATTACAGTTTTTAGAGACCCAACATGTTCTTTGCATTGGCCTCATATTTGGAATCTGCAACAGATCTACTAAATCAGGGCTTTTCAACCTTTTCACCCATTGTACCATTTTTAGGATATGGCAATATCCGAGTATCACCAGTCGCCTACCAAGGTGTCAAAAACGTGATGACCCCCCCCCAAAAAGGAAAAAAGTGATAAAGTACAGGTAGTACTCAACTTACAACAGTTCGTTTAGTGACTGTTCAAAGTTACAATGGTACCAACAAAAGTGCCCCCCAAGCCACAGCCGAGCAAGACACCTGCCTGCCCACCTGGCGGCGCTCTTCCTCCTGTCTGAGGTTTTCATTGTTGTGAGCATTTCTGTTGAGGATTGGCAGCGGGGGTGGGGTGGGGGGTATTTGATTTTTATTCCCCCCGTCTGCTGGGTGGTTGCCGCAGGTTTTGGTCACTTCACATGACCCTGGGACACTGTGACCGTCATAAATATGAATCAGTTGCCAAGCATCTGAATGTAAATCACAAGATCCTGGAGATGCTGCAACATTCCAGCTGATCTTCTGGGCTCAGCAGAAGCACCAGGATCAGTGCCGAGCTCCAGCTGGAGCTGGTGCTGATCTTGGCGCTTCCGCTCAGCCCTGACAGCCCTGCAGCTCCACCCATCTCTTCCTCAGGCTTCTGCGGTGCTGCCACCGGTTCAGCTCATTCCCCTCCCCCACTACCACTTTTCTAGGATGGTCGCGTACCACCTGCCAGGTACCAATGTACCACAGGTGATACCCGTATCACTGGTTGAAAAGCCCTGTACTAAATTCTGCTTATGATAGATTTGCAAGAGACCTGTGAATACAAATATAACTTTTGATCCTTATATCTTTTGTATTTTGTGTGTTATTTTATGATTGGAATTAAATATGACAGTATTGTGATTTCCTTGTTTGTAGGTTAGTGTGTTATATGAAGACAGCGATTGTGGTTTATAAATCATAAAACATATTTAAGCTGGTTACTGAATGAATCTTTATTTTTTAAATTTGCAGGATACATTGATGATGAATTACTATATGTACATCTGAATAGTTGTGTGTCTGTGTGTGTGGGTGTACATATACATCTGTTAGTCTTCACTGATCTGCTTTATTGTGTGTTTTGTTAGAGAAAAATCACATTTCTGAAGCAATTTATTTATGTAAACATCAAGCGATGTACTCTTCCGAAAAGTATTGCTGACACAGGCGGAAACTAAGTATTCTGAGAAACTAGTTAGCTAAGGAAGTTTTTTTTCTTTCCTTCTTTTGAAGGGGCCTCACACCACCTGATGCAGAAATGTTATATATGCAAGAAGTTGAGAGAATGGAAGGTTATGGTGAAGAGGCCTACCCTGCTAAGGTAAAGTTAATTTTACTGAAGGCCTGTGCCTGTCAGTGTTGCACAAATATGATAATTAATTTCCCTTTTGCATTTTTAATTTTCTTTTAAAAAGTACCATATACTTTTTTTTGTTGTAACACTGATCATGTTTCTGTTAAAACCTTTAGCAGAAACACCCAGATGTCAGTCCAGAAATAGGATTGGAGTTTCTATTTAGAATGCAAAAAATTACACTGAAAATATTTTGTATTTCATGTTAACCAATAAATATAGCAAGCATAAAAATTATATTCTGTATCTAGTAAACCTAAAAGGCAGAATTTGAAATATATAAACAAAATGAGTTCAGTCTGTAAAATCCAAATAGCTGAGAACCCCAATATTAAAATAGCACCTAGCAATAGCACTTATATACTGCTTCATTAGTGCTTTACAGCCCTCTCTAAGTGGTTTACAGAGTCAGCAAATTGCCTCCAACAAACCTCATTTTACTGACCTTGGAAGGATAGAAGGCTGAGTCAACCTCCAGTCAGTGAGAATTGAACTGCTGGAAGCCAGCAGAATTAGCCTGCAATACTGCATTCTAACCACTGCGCTATCATGGCTCAGGCCACCATGAGCTTCTCTAGAGCTATAAAATCATACTACAGAAGACCTTCCAGTAGTCCCACAAATAGATTTGGTTTATAATGTGCTGAGTCTTTTCAGTGGTAGTATCTCAATTAAAGAAGTCTCTTCAAAGGGAAATATGGATGGCAAGAAGTTATCTTCAGTTTAGATGACAATTAAAGATATATCCATTCAGCCTGGCAGATAGAAAATAACAGTAACTGTGAGATCCGTGTTTTAGATTTCATATTGAAGAGGCATCCCTAGGTAAGGTATACCGGTATTATTCCAGTATTATGCTTAGGAGGGTGACCAATGTTTTTGTATGCAAAAATGGTAGCTACTTTTTCATGCACAGTGTGCAGTCTGAAGTGTTCAATAATTGCTTTAGAGAACTCTTGTGTAATCCTGCAGGGATTGCACACTGTGCATATTACTTTTTAAAATTACCTTTTAATTAATTTTTCTATTGATTAGTTGGCAAGATTATTGGTTAATCATTTATTTAATGTTATTTATGTTACTCTTTGATAAATTACTCTGATAAGAATAATATTTTTTTAATAACTGAATGTCAAAAGCATTAATTATTTAGGGAACTTTAGGAGAAGTGATGTATAAGGAAACAAAGCTATTTCCTTGTTCTAGGAAGCATTGCCCTCAATAATATGCTCAAATTGATACATGATCCCTTCTTGGTTAGATAATCAGGTTAACATTTTGGCGTATCATTTTTGCAATATACTTTAAATTTTCATCTCGCTGTGGCTAAATGTTTGCCCTACTAACATTAACAACTTATTTTTTTCATTATTATAATCTAGGATAGTCAAGGAAGTGACATATTCATTGGAGCTTGTCTTGATGGAATTTTTGTCAAACATAAAAATGGTCGTCCTCCTGTAATATTTAGGTGAGTTTTTTTCCCAAAGCAAGATGGGAAGTATGATGTTTCATAATCATAACAATCTCTAGATATTCGAGCTAAGTAAAAACATATTGCTTGTGCTAAAGTATAGAAGATATAAAGCTGTAGTTATACAACTAATGAGATCTGTACTGTGATTAATTGACATGCCATCAAGTCAGATAAATAGATTTCCTCCATAATAATCTGTGCCTAAGCTGGTATTTCAGGTCTTTCAAAAATGCACTCATCACTAGTTTAAGTGAGTCTATCCACCTTGCTGCTGATTGTCCTCTTCTCTTTCCCTCCACCTTTCCCAGCATTGGAGCCTTCTCCAGAGAGCTAGATCTTCCCATAATGTGTCTGAAGCAGGATAACCTGGATCTGATTATTTGTGTCTCAAGTGAGAACTCTGGGTTGATTTGTTTGTTTTCTTTGCTGTGCACTGTATTCTCAGGGATCTTCTCTAACTTTAAAGTTCAAAAGCATCAATACTCTGCTTCTTCAGAGTCTAATCTATGAAATTCTTGCTTATCTTTCAGTAATCACCGTAAGGATTATTTAGTGTGCGATCTCTAACCTTTGATCATAGCAAATGATTGCTCATTTCCCCCTTCCAAGTGAGTAGATAGGTTTCCAAATTCAAGTGACAAGTTTGACTTTAAATGAGCTGCCTTCAATGAGAAGCTCTTCCTGAAATTGGAGAATCCCTACCTGAGAAAGTCTCAGGAAGAAGAACACAGAAAGAATAAGGTTCCAAGCACAGCTGGATAGGAGGATTGAGATCCAAAGACTTCTAGCTCTTGTCTGTTTTTTCCTCCCACATTCCTATGGGGTTTTGCCCACATCAATACGTAACCTAAAAGACTCACAGTGAGAGATTCGAGGACACAGCTCTGATAGAATAAATTTACTAATGCAAAAGCCTTTAGTAATAAATAAAATTAGTCACTGCGAGCTCTAGGATTCAAATGGTATTTGCAGCAGCAGCCCCCTGATTCAAATTGTACATCAGCCTTCCCGCCCCTAGATTGTAATGGATCCAGAGGCACTTGTTTCTTGGATCTTGCCAGCTCTGGCCTTCATAGTTGCTAACCAGAGGAAATGGAAGAGTAGCAGATGCCGATCCTTCTTCCCTGCCTGTAATTAAATGTTATGGATAGGTGCATAAGAACTTTGTCCCTGACCTCAGGTGTTGTTAGTTCAGCTCTTGCAATCCCTTGTGTGGAGACTAAAGCAAAAGCAGCCAACCAAAGGATTATAGATTTGAAGTTGAAACATGCAAGGCAGCCAACAACTTCTGCAAATGTACAGTATAAGAAATAATAGCAAATCAATATATTTTTTACACAGGAAACTAAAGCATAATTATGTGTGAAAGTTATGGGTTCTTAAGTTTTTCTCATTATTCTTTTTATATGCAGGTGGCATGACATTGCTAATATGACCCACAACAAATCTTTTTTTGCATTAGAATTAGCCAATAAAGAAGAGACAATCCAGTTCCAAACTGTGAGTTTTTATTTTAGTACATTTTAAACTATTGTGATACGAAGAAGAAATCAGATTCTCTATACATGAGAGTAGATATATGTTGGTGTATAATACGTGAGTCTGTATGTATGTGGGAGAGAAAGTTTGTGTAACTGAAGGGTGATGGTCTCTTAATTTTATATTATCTTGATTATCTTCATATTAGAGCAGTTATTAGCAAAAGTCATATAATCTATTAGTAGTCAATATAGTTGAGTGGGAACAATTCTATTCATATATTCTCCCTATCAATATACATATACATACACATATACATATACCTGTCATATGTTCTGCACTCTGTCACTATAGTATTCAGTGAATTAAAATATACTTATTTACATCTCTCTTAGGAGAATTCCAGGGCACTGCCTACATGTTCCTTTAAGAGGATGATTCTAAGTCAGATTTTTATAATGAAATGATTCTTTATTCAGAAATATAGATAGCATATTTTTTCTACCTCTTGGTCTATTTTTTCTTTTTCTTTATAAAGTACCGTATATGCCGGCGTATTAGGCGACCCGGCGTATAAGATGACCCCCGTCTTTATAGCCGGGCCGCATTCCTAGAACGTCGTCTTATACGCCGGAAACTACCAGTATTTCCAGCGTATAAGACGACTCAGCATATAAGACGACCCCCGTCTTTGGCGCCAATTTCAGCGCTCACGGAAGTCGTCTTATACGCCGGCATTTACGGTACTTGCCATAAACTTGTAGGTCTGGTTATGGCAAAACAAGATGTGCTATTATTGATTACTTCTCTCTGTGTTTGCTGATATTGCATTATTAATAGTGAATCATATTGCTATCTTTTATGTATTTTAACAATTTTATCAGTTTCATTGCATTCTTAAAAATTATTTATCATAATCCTACATTTATATGATAAAAGGTATATGCCTATTTTGTAATGGAAGAAGAGTCTGCATCTGTTTCCTGTTTGGATACCTATTATACCTATCTGTGCGAGAAGTAACTCTCACAGATATAATAACTGTTTTGTAATGAATTCTGAAGAAGCCCAGTATAAATTTATATTGCTATAATAGTATTCTACCTGAAGTCCATGACTTGAACATGTTTTGAGCTTGTTACCTTTGATTGTTCATATGTGGGGATCATAAAGAAAGCATCTCCACGTGGCTCCAGAGGCAGCAGGCATGTGTACCAGGCGGGATTCTGCTTATCTCTGCTGTGCATGACTTTTATGCTGGGCCTGCCCCAAAACCTGCTTTGTTTCATGTGTATCTTTTCTGTTTGACAGGAAGATATGGAAACAGCAAAATATGTGTGGAGGATGTGTGTAGCCAGACACAAATTTTACAGATTAAATAAATGTAGCCTGTAAGTACCATATCTTTTAGTTTCTTAACTGCATTTGATATTTATAAATAGTTAACTTATTTCCTTTTTGAAAGCATATTCCTGATGTAGGGACTTAATTATCTTCGACATTTTGCTTTCAGCATTCATGTAAGCAGCCGTGTATGGTGAAAGAGGTTTTATTGCTTCAGGCTCTGACTAAATGACTTGGATTGAACTATAAGAAAATTTTACTAAGGTAGCACACACTAGAACTGGTGTAGAAGAACTAGTGTATGGATTTGCAGTATAACCTCTATAAGCGTTGAAATGCCTACAAGATTGTCAGATGGCTTCCCTAGAATCTCAGAATGTATTTTTAAAAATACAATTGAAAGAAATGACACCATGATTTTCTAGTATTGTCACCAATATATCATGAAATTTGAAAGCTTTGTGAAAATTTAACCCCTTTCCTTTCTTGTGCTATCACTTAAAATGAAACAGCATCACCCACCACCTGAAAAAAGGCTGAACTCTAATCTAGAGAAAGAATTCTTATAGCAGTTTCTCTGGGATTTTAGAAAAAAAAAGTAAATAATGAATACTGTGTAACATATATTTTAGTAGCCTATTAAAAATCTTGACAATAACTTGAGCTTTTACAAGTAAAGACATTGCCCTGGATTTGGGATCACTTTTCTCAATACTATACTCTTCTGTTAACAGGAAATGCTGATTCCATGATGTATTTCATAAAAAAATATTTTTGATCAGGCTTATACAAATTATCCAATAATGTAATTGCAAATAAATTCCATCAACTCCAAAGATACATTACTTAGATTTCTAAATAAACATATGGATTAAATTAATGAAATCAGAAGGTAATCCTTACAGCAGTGTCTGTTTCCTGGTTGACAGTTTGAGCACCATTTTAAGAGTCACATTCTGTATTATCATACTTCTAGCAAGCCCTTTATAAATTTAAAGAGAATGATGGATCATGGTGCTGATCCATTCTTCATGTTCTGTCTTTTATAAAGAAGAGCCAAGTGTAGTGCATTTTGGGTGAGAACATTCTTACTCTCTGACTTCTTTACCAGTTCAGAGACTAACACTGATGGAAAGGTATTAGTTTGCCTTTTGGGGGGAAAAGGCATACAGTACCAGAAACATATTTGCCTTAGATCAGGACTAGGCAGAAGGAGACAGTTGAATCAGTATAGAATTTGAATTTGTGTTTTTACTTGTTTAACACACTACCTGACAGTTTTCTTTCAGACAGCCTGATTTCAAAAGAAAAATGTCAAGAGCATGGCTTAGCCTCTGTAGGAGATGACATGCTGAAACTTTGCTGGTCCCTTAGCCCACCATGATCAACTGCCTATCTATATAGAATTCCCTTCTAGAAGAAGTAAAAAATGTAAAGTCTTCAGGATATGTGCTTTGCAATAAACTAAATATACATGAAGGAACCAAGGGGTTTTAAAATATCTCTGGCAGATTATAGTAGAATACCTCTGCAGAAGATTGCATCAGACGAAATAACTTCTGAAGTAGAGACATTAGGGACAGCTGAGAATGATTAGATTATATAGTAACATAACTTAATGATTCTTTCCCAGATATCTATTTGTCTGAAAATAACAGGATATAGAGGTCAAAACTCCAGGCTTGAGGTTTTGAAAAAAAACAATGACTATTATAGTTGTGCTTCTTAATAAATGTACCAGATATACAATTATTCAGGAAGTCCACAAGATGAAGCAAATAAACTGTGGGTTTTTTTTTCTAAAGACATTAGTCAAACTATCTTACAGAAAGGAATTATATACACGGTTTTATCAGAATTGTTGATAAAAATGGGAATTTACATTCAAGCGTATAATTTTGAAACCACATAGAAATAATTTCTACTGTTCAGGATCCGAATGAAACTGGCATACTTGAAGGGGACTCCCTCACTGATGCCAGCAAAAGGAACAATTTTGGAGATTAACACAAGCAGATACAAAAGACAAAGAAGCATTCAAACAGATACAAAAGCAGAAGGGAAAAAAAATAACAAAACAAACTCTTTATATTGACCAGTTAAAGATTTAGCATAGTCTATAAAACTTGTATTAGGATTTAAGAATATATATTTCAGGTATAATTGACTTATTAAGACATATATTTTATTGGGTGGGGAGAGGGGAGAAAGCAGGAAAAGATTTCACCACTTAGGCTGGGAAGGGGCTCAGAGTGTTCCCTTGATAACTTTGTTGATTCATTCTTGATGTAAGACTGAACAGTGAGGAGTGATTGTTTAGGGAGGAAAAAAATGGTTATTAAAAATTTTGGGATTAATCTGGAGGGAAGACTGGATGGATATGACTAGGTCTGGAAGTTTCAGAGGGGAAAAAAGTAGTAACAAGATTTTCTCTCCTCATCCTCCAAATAGTTCAGTGAATTAGGAAGGCTCCTGCCTAAGTCATGTTTGAATGTTATTTTGTACTTTTGTTGTTTTTTTTTTTTTAAAAAAATGCTTCAGCTGCTTTTGCCTAGGTAACGATTCTTGCATATCTCCATCAGGTTAATCTTTTTTACTTCCTCAGTATCTTCTTTTTGGAAGAATGTGTTTAAAGAAACATCTTACATAAGCAAAAAAAGATTCAGTTCATTCCCAAATGTAAGTTTGCCACACATATTTGAGGGCCAGAATAAGAACAGGTTTTCAAGTTGGTTTCTTAAGGGTGACATCTCTCAATGGTTAAGACCCAACTCTTCTTAGGCAGCAAACATAAACTTGTTTTTACAGAAGAAGGGTTCTGTGAGATAGCAATGGAAACACATGTAAGTAAGTAAGTTTTATTCATTGCAGTCAAATTTGTTGTTTTTAAACAATGAATATGTCAGGGTAATTCTTCAATGGATAGATGTGTAATAACATTTGGTCTATAGCTTTGTTTGATAAAGTTTCTGATAAAATCAATTGTATGACAGGCCAAAGTAGTGAATAATTGTTTTACAAGGAATGATGGAATGTCATTGTTCATAGAAAAGATAGGTATCCTGGAAACAGTTTGTAATAAACATTACAGGCATGTTAAAATGTATCAGCACTAAGTACATTTTTGAAATTCATTTTTTAAAAATGTAAACAAAGAAGAAAGAAGTCTGCTTCAAAGAATAGCTAAGAAATGGAAATGGAGCTATGGGGACAGCCATGTTAGCAGAAGTGATGCTTATTATAGTGCTTTTTCTTTTCCTTCTATGCCCTAAAACCCTCCATAGTGTAAATAATCAAGCACCTTTGCAAACCTTCTTAGTTCTAGAAAACCTTAACTTCATAGACTTTAGCTATCTTTTCCCATTTTTTTTTTTGCAATTTCCTTTTAGAAACATTTTAAAACCTTTGCAGAGAAAGGGGATTCATCTATTTTAAGCCATAAAATGTAAAAGAAAGAGGAGGATTAATTGTACTAGCCAAAATTGCCAAAATTTTCAGTGTTGATCAGTCTGTGGGTTGTAAAATGAGTCTGTGGGGTGCTTTTGATCTAGTTGCATACATTCACTCTATTTGTATGTAATCAATGTTCAAAGTTAATTATGAAAAAAAGAAAATTGTTCATGAAAGATGTCCTGAGCTTCAGATCGTGAATAGGATTCACAAAACCTTAATATGCTAGATGTAGTGAGGTTTGCTTCTCAGAATAAAAGTGTAAACAAATAAAGTTCTTTTCAGCCTAATGTTGAAGTTGAGATTTAAGCATGTAAGTATTTGAATTATTTTATAGAAGATGTTTTTATCTCCTGATTTGCTTCATGACACAGCTAGCATTTCTAGTTATTTCTAGTTATGAGGCTGCAAAATAATTCTGTATTGTTATCAGGAATACTTTATAAACATGTCCATGAAGTCACCAGGAGTTGTTCAACTCAAGGGAGTTTTTACCTTTTACATAAATTTAGAATTCACATTTTAAAATAGCAGTAATCATTCTTTTCCTTTTAACTCAGGCCTACTGGTTAAAATCAGAGAACATGTGTTTTCATTGCTATCTAACAGAACCCTTCTTCTATAAAAACAAGTTTATGTTTGCTGCCTAAGAAGAGTTGGGTCTTAACCATTGAGAGATGTCACCCTTAAGAAACCAACTTGAAAACCTATTATGATGTCACATTTGTTTATAGCCAGCATCCATTTTCTTAATGAGCTATTTCATTGCCTATGTTTTGTCTGCATGTACCTTGTCTTTAGAGACTCCCCAGATTCTTCGCCTGAAGAAGGCTCTCAGAAATCTTTCCTCATTCTTGCCTTTCCACGCTTTCCAATCCTTTCTCGTCCTTCTCTGCCCAAAGGGTGAGCCAAAACACAAAATCTTTCTTTCTTTCTTCTTTCCTCTTGCACACTTTGCATGTCTTAATATTTATAGTGTTCCCTTTATTTACTTGTACACCCACAGTGATGTGATTTAAAGAAGCTATCCCTTTGGACATTGAATTCCAATAAATATACCATTTCCTTATCTGTCTGTGTCCTACACAAATGAAGAATGTGGGTGTGGGTATGAAAGGTTTATCATTTGGTTTCAGAATAAATGGAATGTGCCAGACCAATTTTTAATGCAACTTTATGTTTGCAAGAATAGATAAACATTAGAACATTGATGAGCCAATGATTTCTGTCACAAGGCCAATTAATACAGGATGCAAAATATGCAAAAAAATTTATTTGAATGAGCTTCTGTACTTTTTTCAGGAATCCTTAAACAACATATTCCTTCTTTTGTATGTAGGAACAGAGCTGAGACAGAGAAAGTTCAAAAGTCAAGAATTTCAGTTAGAATGCAGCCATTCACATGTCTTAAGCTATAATCGATTTTAGCCATGGTCTGAAGAATAGTCTATAAACAAGACCAGTAGATTTTAAATGAACAACCATTTTGTTTTAAATTCTTGGCATGTTCTTTTTAATGGTACTTGTCATGTTTGGGACATGGCACAAAAATAAACCACAAAAACCTTGCTAAATTATAGTTGCTGTAAGCTAGACAACAAATAAACTACATCTTAACCATAATTACTATATTAAAACAATATAATTTTCACAGACACCATCCCCCATATGGTTACTAGTACATATTGTATTATCACAATCTTAGCAATTTGCATATCTCTGGAGGAAGGGAGATAAATCAACTGATAGTCCATCACTGTGTGAGATTAGGTTGAAACTGCCATGCCTAAAGATATGAAGGCAGGTAAGCCGAGTGCACAAAAGCCAGGAATCTTTTTCTAAGATTGCTTAAGGGAGGTAGATAAGAAGGAACTAAGTTGTTAAAGAAACAAAGGGACATTTGTCACTTGAAGCAGACAAAAGAAGTGGGGCTTGAGCACACTGAAAACCCCTCCTCATAATCCCATCACCACCTACCAGACAAGGCAAGAGTAGCTGCCTGTCTTGTCAAGGCTTTGGGGAGATAAAAGGGGTCCTGAAGCTTTCCCATTCTTTGAGTTGTCTTTGGATCCAGACTTAGTGGCTTCTAACTCTCTGGCTAGTGCCTGCCAGCCTAGGTGAGAAGGACATGGGTAAATGTAGGTGAATATAACTGTGGATGAATGTGTGTATGTGTGTATGAGGGTGGCTATTTCCAGGGCTGTGAGTGTAGGTGAGTGCATGTAACAGCTGTCTAACTTGCTTTAATAATAATTAAAAAAAACTATGTTTCACTTTGAACAGATATAGTTTCCTTCCAGATGATGAGTTTGAGTGCTGCTAATCAAAAAGCCTATATTTCCTTCTCCTCCTTGGATTTTTTTATAGAGAAAAACACATTGCAATTAATGACATAGAAATCTTAAAAGATGATACCTGCTATTTTTCTTTGAAATTGCTTAAATTACAGGATTAGAGTAATACTGTTTTATTTTCCAAATGTTATAACAGACTATGTGGAGCATTATAGGAAATTCTTATATATCATACTATGTATTTGTAATAGATTGGTCCACGTATAGTCTGTGTTGATTGGATTTCTCTGGGCTATAATATGTGAATCAATGCAGGCATGGCTTACTTGAAAAGTGGGTATCATATCTGCCCATCTTTGCCAGTATGTCCTGTTCACTGTTTGATAAAACTACATATGGCATTGTGATATGACAAAAAATAAATCTCCCCTCCCCATCATTTAGTCTATCAATGAACAAAGAAAAGGGGAAGATTATTTTGAAGTTTGCTTAGAAATTCACCAGTTATGATTAAACACATACTTGTAGTTAGGTTATAGCTGAATTAGCAACAGTTCAAGCAGGTGTACTCTGCTGAGGTCTAAGCAATATCATTTATTTATTTATTTTACCACCCATCTATACAATAAGGTGACTCTGGGCATCAACAATACAATATTGTTTCGGATATTATTTTTCATAGTCTGTTGTGTTTCTGAAAATCTAAATGGTTTTTCTCCCTGGTATTTTAATATGAATGAATTAAAAATTGCTGTGTTATCTGATGAGTTTTCATAGTCTTTTTGACTGCCACTGGAGGAGCTGCATATACTAACATACATTATTTTGATTTGATGCAATATGCTTCCAGCTGTGGGTGATTAAATCTATATACTGTATGTAATGTGGTGGCAAGTGGCTCTTTGGGAGAAGAATCATTTTATGAATTTGAATTATTGCAAACTACAGTCCTAAAGACACTTACTGCCACTAAGCATACTGATCTATGATTATACATGAATAGGATTCCACTGTGATTGATGTCACTACAAAATGTGTGTTATGTCATTGTGTTTTGTAGACAAGCTCAGACAGTGACAGTGAATCCAGTTAGAAGACGATCATCCTCCAGGTTGTCTCTGGTAAGCACTCCACACCTGTTCTCTTCCTTATTCTTTGAATTTAACCTGTCGATAATCATAGTTGGTCAGTTACTCCAATTAAATACATTGACAGATGATAATAAAATCTGGCAATAAATTAGACAAATGCTAAATGTTGTAACAGTATCCTGTGTTATGAAAACTAAGCAAATATCACATGATATTTCAGTATTACACACTTTAGCCAAAGTATATGCATATTCCTCCGCATATACTCAAACACTTTTCAATTATTTTCTCACTGCTTAAGAAAGTTTTGCTCAAAACTACATACAGTACTAAGTTCAAGGAGAAGCAGCAACCACAGGACTAAACATTTTGAAAGACTTACATGTAGATAATCTATTTTGCTGACAATATAATATTGCTTCAATAGAATAGGAAAAAACATAAAAATTACCATATTTCAAAATATCTTTAATATATTTTCAAGTGGCATCATTATATTAATGAAATTAAGAATATAGCAAATATCTCTTATAAATTAATAAAGTTTAATTTTAAATCTGCAATACTGAAGAAAATCTAAGGAACAAACTGGTATTATTCTTTTCTTTCTAAAAATCCTCTTCAATATACAGTAACTTAATACCGTTTACAATGCATGGGTTCTTCTAAGCTGCTTTTTCTGGAGAAGCAATTCACATCCACTTCCTAAAATCACACATTAGTGTGATTCATTATCCAGCTAAACTTGAATTAGGCTTTCTTGGCAATTCATATTTGAGGACTCTGCTAATGTACTGATTTTGTTGACCAATCCAGGTTTTTCATAGCTGAACAAATCCACAGTTAATTAATGTATATTTATTTGTAAAATTTATTTGCCATCCATCTTGTATCCAACAACTCTAGAAGGCCCATATGTCTGTGCTTGGCTTAATAGAAATTTTGCAGTTTGCAGGGGTGTCAAACTGCCGGCCCACAGGCCAGATGCATCATGCAGAAGCCACACCCACCCCAAATCTGGCAAGGAGAAAAAAGTTGCAATACATCGTGACATGTCACGTGACGTGGCAACTTTGACACTCCTGTGCTGCAGTATATTTTATATAAAATTCATATTTCTATATTTTATTTTACAGATATCCTGATTCAGTTGTTTTTATAGACAGGAGCTATGATATGTACCAGCTCTTACATCTCTGCAAAACATTCTTGCAATTTTTAATTATAATATTTAGTCTGAATTGATATTGTTGTGCTTAGACTTAAAGTGCATGTGGATATTAGAACTGGAGTAAAGTTTGTTTCTAATTGTTATCTATCTTTGCTTACTTCAATATGTCTCTAGCAGCCCAAACCACAGCCTTATATGATGCCACCACCACCTCAGTTACACTACAATGGACACTACCCAGAACCATATACATCGTCGCAAGGTAAAATTTCAGCAATTTTAGGAAACTGGAATATTTCGCAAAGTAATAATTGGAAAATGTGAAAAACATTTGGATGATGTTATTGGGGAGTCATTAATAGTTAATGTTAAACAGTTCTTGGTATACAGATAGTCCTTGACTTACGACCACAACTGAGCCCAAAATTTTTGTTGCTAAGTGAAACATTTGTTACATGAGATTTGCCCCATTTATGACTTTTCTTGCCACAGTTGTTAAGTGAATCTGGCTTCCCCATTGATTTTGCTTGTTAGAAGGTCATGAAGGCTGACCCCTGGACACTGCAACTGTCATAAATATGAACCAATGGCCAAACCTCCAAATTTTGATCTCTTGACCAAGGGGATGCTGGAAATGTCATAAGTGTGAAAAAACAGTCATAAATCATTTTTTTCAGTGTCGTTGTAACTTTAAACGGTCATTAAATAAACTGTTGTAAGTTGAGAACCACCTGTAATCAGTGGTTGGATTCATAAAGACATAAAACAGTATATAAATGCAACAACTCTGGTTTATTCAGTAAACTGTGTTTAAATAAAACTTGACTTAGAACAGCAGTCCCCAACTTTTTCAACTTGATGGCCTAGTGGGGGGAGGTGTATGAGTGGCAGGCACACATGTGTGCGCACAACTCTATTTGTGTAGGTGGTGTGCGCACCCTCCATTTGCGCACGAGTGAAGGGTGCTTGCACTCGCTCACGAAGGTCCACTCATGCAAGTGGCAGGCACTTGTGCTTGTGCGTGAAGCTCCACTTGCGTCACCAGAGGCCACTTGAGCAGAGGGTGCTCTCGTGTGCTTGCCTACCACTTGTGTGCACACTTGCCATTTCTCTCATGGCCCAGTTTTGAACAGGCTGTGGCCCAGTAATGGGCCACGGCCCGGGGTTTGGGGACTCCTGGCTTAGAACATGCAAACTACTTAGAACCTGAATAAGGAACTGATTATATGGCTCTAATGTAAGAAAACAAGGTGCTGCCTTGTCTCAGAACAAATTTTTGTCTGGTTAGGTTGGTTATTGACATGGGCAACACCCTTCCAAGTTCTCCAAATTCTTCAAATTCCATCATGTGCTAGCTTGTTGTAGACATTGTAGGAAGAAAGCCATGTTTTCTATCATGGCAAAAAAATCTGGAGGAGTCTGCTGGTGCCTTTTGTGACTACATCCCTATACCTTTCAATTAAATGTGTTAGTTAGAAAAGTTGCTACCAAACTCCTCCTGATCACGTGCTATCTGCATCCTTAAACTGAAGGCTCTGGAGTTTGAACTGGATTTTTATATCAAATCTATATTCTGCCACTGAGTGGCTCTTTGTGCTACATATTATCTTAAGTTTCCATCTGGAAAATACAAGAGCATTTTTACAAGAGCAAAATTGAAACAGTGAACTTTATAATTAATAGTCATACTATTCATATTTTAAAGAGATAGAAAGAACTAATTACTAAAAGCTTGTTCAGCTGGTATGTAGGGAGGAGGATTTCTCATTAGCACAGTAGCATTCACTTCTGGAAGCTGGGTGCGGGGTCAAAGACTAAAGTTGTATGCTGTTATGAGTACTGTATTTGCAACATTTAGGTTTCCTAATGTTGACAATTAAAAGTCTTCAAGCAATTTTACTGTGTTATTCTGCTGAAAAGGGCATTCTGTGTGGCTAATTACAATATAAAGAGAATGTTGGGAAGAAAATATCAACTGGCTTTCGCTTGTTGTACTCTCTCTCTCTCTCTCTCTCTCTCTCTCTCTCTCTCTCTCTCTCTCACACACACACACACACACACACACACACACCCCCCAGTGGCAGGCCTGGGCCTCCGAGGCCTAGAACGGACTTCCAGAAGCAGCATGGGGTTCAGTCGATTCTCTGAACTCAACAAAATTTAGCTACTGGTTCTACCAAACTGGTGTGAACCAGCTGAATCCCACCACTAATACACACACATACACACACACAGTCCAAGGTTTCTCAGGATGGGAAGGCTGGGGAGTGAACAGACAGAATATTGTAGGTGGATTTGCAATATTGGTTTTATTTCAATATCTGTACATTTCGTTAAGTAGAAGCTGCTTTTGCTAATGGACTGGAATTAGATGTCTTGCACTTTATGTACTTTAAGTATTGACAATGAAGTTGTCATTTATTTACCCATGAAGGCATGGCTTTATTTTTAATTTTAAAATACATTGGTGAAGCAAAGGAATTGTATTGTGATAGTAACTGCTTTTTATCTCTTTCTACCATCATGTGGGTATAAATAGATGCAAACATTTCTATTCCAGATAATCTCTATGGAACTAACCAGAATGGCTATTACTGCCATTCTCAGACTAGCTTGGATAGAGCGCCGCATGACTATAATGGTAGAATCCGCAACGGCAGTGTCTACAGTGCTCACAGCACAAATTCCTTGAATAACCTGCAGCACTATATGCAGCCATCACCTATGTCCTCCAACCCAAGCATTACTGGCAGTGATGTCCTCCATTCAGATTATGTCCCATCGCATCGACATAGTGCCCTAATACCCCCTTCCTATCGGCCTACCCCAGATTATGAGACTGTGATGAAGCAACTAAGCCGAGGAATGATGAATTCAAACAAACAGAGTCATTCCATGAGAAACCTTAATATAGGCAATTCATACGCTTACAGTAGGCCTGATGCCCTGGTATACAGTCAGCCTGAAATCCGAGAACATGCTAACTTTGTTTCCCCCCATTCTGGTCATTATCCATTTAATCTGAATTACAGCTTCCACAGCCAGTCCTCATATCCGTATCCTCCTGAAAGACGCTTGGTAGTTGGAGCAGTGAGCGTTCCTGAATTAACAAATGTTCAATTGCAAGCTCAAGAATATCCTGCACCAAACATCATGAAGACTCAAGTATACCGCCCTCCACCTCCTTATCCTTATCCACGACCTGCTAACAGCACACCAGATCTATCCAGACACTTCTACAGCAGTAATAGTAACCCTGATCTCATCACCCGACGGGTCCATCACTCTGTTCAGACGTTCCAGGAGGACAGTCTGCCAGTTGCCCATTCCCTTCAGGAAGTGAGTGAACCTTTGACATCAGCTCGGCATGCTCAGTTGCAGAAGAGAAACAGCATTGAAATTGCTGGCCTGGCGCACAGTTTTGAGGCCATGAGGATTAAAGAGAGAACCATGTCAGCCTCAACTGCGGATGTGGCTCATCCAAAGGCAATCCCTTCTGGGTCACAGACTTCTGTATTCCTAGAAAAGGCAAAACAAGAAGAAATCAAGGAGCAAGAAGACAATGTGAATTATGGGCATAAGAAATCTCTTTCAGATGCAACAATGCTCATTCACAGTAGTGAGGAAGAGGAAGAATGTGAAGACGAAAGTAAGGCTAATCCAGCACTGCCATTCATCAATGGAAAACCCCAGCTTCCTTCCCTAATAGCATGTTATCCAACTGAATCTTTATTGAATTACCCTTATAGTTCCGTTCCTTCATCTCCTGGTCCTTTACATATACATGAGCCCAAATTGCACATTACTGAGACTGACAAGAGGGTAAAAGATGTGAGCCCTTCACACATCATGGGTGACTCTCAGGTGCTAAGGAGAGGAGACGGGCTGCTAACTCCATCTGTGTCAGAGTCTGACTTAACCATTTCTGCCCGCTATAGAGTGCGGAAGGATTCTGTAAAGAAGAGACCAGTGTCTGAATTACTGTCAGGGAAGAAGAATATTGTAGAAGGGCTGCCTCCTTTAGGGGTGAGTTTTCTCAAGGTTGTCTACTTTTCATCTTTTTATGTCATATTTGAAAAACTCTTCATATTAACCAAGCAGGAGATCAGTGGCATCGTAAGTATATGTCTCTATTGAGTTTGCCTATTGACAGCAAGGGATTTGTAGGCAATGAACATGGGACTGAAGGTACGAAGAGAATATTGTTTATTTTCAAGCTATGGTCCCTTCCATGGCCTGGAGAAAGCTAGTGTACACATGTTAACTTTAAGGAGATCTCATATTAATTCTCACATAGAAGTAGATCCACATGAAATTGTTTTTAATGGTCCTACTGGAAACATATCAAACATCCCAGATGTAGCTGAGAATGGAAAGGGCTCTGACTGTGAAATACAGCCCGGGGGACACCTCAGAAGAAGTGGGTCGATGAGCAGAGGCAGGCTGCAATGGTAAGTGGGTGCAGGGTGCATGGGGCAGATCCACCCCCCCTGGCCTACGGCTTATTTTTGGGGTAGGACTTATATTAGGCCCATCCCCCAAAATCAAGTTAAGGCTTACTTTTGGGGTAGGTCTTACTTTCAGGGAAGTATGGTATGACTGGAAAGAGAGAAACCTTTACTTTTATATAGTGTATATATATCATATATAGCTATGTTATGATTCACTACTTTATGAGGAGAAAATGTTTATATGTCTACACACACAGAGAGCCTTAGAGTACCAGACATGAATGGGGAAGTGTTCATATTCGTGTTTAGCCACAATTTTGTTGCTCCTCCAGTTTGTCTCTGGTTTCTATCACAGTGTATTTGGAAAGATTGTCTTCTTCCAGCAGGTCATGAAAAAGAACAGAGCTGAAGCTAAAAAAATGGGACCTTTGAAGTTAGCGGCTCTGAATGGACTAACATTATCTCGTCTTCCTCTGCCAAGCGAGGGGAAGGAAGAATCTCCCAGAACAACAAATGATGAACGGGTTGGTCTGATGTTTGCTTAGGATATATCGGTGTTTTGAAAATTCATCCCCAGTGCTTAGTTATTCAAACTTGGCTATTCAAATTCATTTTGGACACAAGAATAGTATTGGGATTGGTCATCAGTTTGTCAATCAGCAGTTTCTTTTAACTGCTGAGAGCACATGAATATTTTGAAGCTGGATTTATTTATTTAAGTTTAGTTAGTTATCTATGTACTACTAAAACTCTCTTGTCATGTCCTTTAATTTGGCAAAACAGTGCATCATAGAGCAACAATTTTTGAACTAACATGCTTCAAATGGCCTAATATATAAAATGTGTCCAAAATCCAGAACCCTTGACTCTCAAAAGAATAAAATTTAGAAAAGTTGTGGCTGGTTTACTATTACTGGCTGCTGCTGTACTGCCACGGTGGATATGTAATCTTCCTTTTCAATGTCTGTGACAGTTTCAGCTAGTTTCATGATCCCTTAGTCCCTCACCCTCCCAGCAGCAACCACTGATCTGCCGGCAGGGCAGGGCAGGGGAAATTTATGATGGTCTCTGCCAGATTCCCACAGGAAAACTCAGTGGGGAAGCTGTCAGGAAGTTGGACATTGCTTCTACTCCCACTGCTTTTTTGCCTGTCCTTTGTCATTCCATTTCTCTGTTTAGATAAAGAAATATCTCTGAAAAGATGATCGAGGCACAAGTTGTATAGTTTCTTCATTAAAAATGGTTTTAAAATGTTTACATACCATGATATTTGTATCCTAGACCAGGAGTCCTCAATCCCCAGGCTGCAGCTCACTACTGGGCCTTGAGCCTTTTGGAACTGGGCTGCAGAAGTAGTGGGCAACCCTGTGTACGTGCATCCCCACTCATGCAAGCAGCAGATGACTGCCTGCGCGCACACTTCATTTGTGAGCAACAGGCACATGCACATGCCGCTCATGCAAATGGAGCTGCATGTACGCACACTTGCCTCCTGCGTGCATGGGACAACCCTCCCCCATCCTGCCAGTCTGAAAAGCTGAAAAGGTTGGGGAATTCTGTCTTAAACAGCCTTCATACAGCAAACAATGGTTAAAAGAAATGCTAGATATCAATCACCATATTATTACAATCTTTTGATATTGATTCCTTGTTCTGTGTCTGTAAGAATGGGGTCAGTGGCCCTAAATAAATTTCAGGGTCTGTTCCATGGCCTTGAGCTTTCCAAATTATCCTTGGCTTCATCTCATTTCAGGTATTGGCTGTTTGGAAGTTCACTGCTAGGTTTTATTTGTACATGCATCTAAATTGTTTAATTTGTTTTGGTGTCAACGCAGCTAACATCAGATATTCTTGCTTTGATAACAGATGGAAATGCAGCCATTTTCTCTATTGCTTTTAGAATTAGTTGATGCTGGGAGGGAGAATAGGGATGAGAGTTCAGCTAGTCATAACAATAATAACTTAGTTGTGGGAACCCAAGGACATTGGGCCCAGAGCTGATAGTGTTTTGGTGGGCTGGAGAAAGGCCGCACTTGAAGCTAATTGAGGAATGTGATTTATGACTGTTTATTGGAGGAGGGAATTGCACTTTGTTACTTTGTAACCAGGGGAGAGGAATTTAGTTTCTGGTTTTAACAATATAGTGCCAATACTTTGTTTCTTGAATAAAAGATTCTTTAAGGTAAACAATGCCTCAAAGTTCTTTTGAAGATTTTCATCTGTTGGAAACATGACATTTGGTGTGTTTGCAGTGTTTGTAACAATGAGAAGAAACATACAAATATTTAAAATATGTTACAAACCATTGGGAAATTTAGCTTAAGGGGAAAAGCAAGAATGTTTTAGATAAACTCAGAAAATGTAAAATGGGAAATTGCAGGATCCAATCTGGGTCGGTCACCAGGATCCAAGGTTTTTGTCTTCCAAGCTTTCGGATTTTTGCTGGCACCCAGGCTAGAGAGACATTCCCTGAGGGTGACTCCAGTGCATGTCTGAAGGCTTGGATGACTTAAACCTCGGTCTGGATCCTGCAACATTATCCTGAGACATGTATATTCACCTTCATTCATCATTTCAATTATTAATTAATTTAATTATTTTAATGTTATAATTTATTATTAATTAATTATTACTTTCATCTGTTTTTCTATATTTTTAGTTTAAAGGTTTGGAACAACGGTTAGACCAAGGGATGGTGTTTACAGAATATGAACGGATTCAAAAGAAAAGGCTGGTAGAAGGTGACTGTTCAATAGCCTGTCTCCCAGAAAATGCAGAGAGGAACCGATTCCAGGATGTGCTTCCTTATGATGACACCAGAGTTGAGCTAGTCCCTACTAAGGAAAATAATACAGGTTACATCAACGCATCACACATTAAGGTAGGGTTAGAAATAAGATGTGTATTCAGAAACAGTTCTTCCACTTAAATTTCAAAAACTTCTTAAAATATCACTCCTCCCCCAAATCTGAGTTCATACTCTCTCTCTCTCTCTCTCTCTCTCTCTCTCTCTCTCTCTCTCTCTCTCTCTCTCTCTCTCTCTCTCTCGATAGATAGATATAGATATAGAGATATATACAGTAGATATAGAGATATAGATAGAGATATATGTCTTGAGTGTTTTTTTGATGCATCCTGTCGGCCCAAATATGGGAAGAAGAAATCTTCTCAGCCTAGATTGGGCTGATACAGGCAAAAGATTTCTGCCTCCCATATTTGGGCCGACAGGGTGCATCAAAAAAACACTCATGACATATCTCCTCCCCTGTCTCTTCCCTCCCTGATACAGCTGACAAAGTGAGAAAGAGCCTGTGGCCTAGTGGTCAACACAGCTGCCTAACATGCAAGCAGCCCAGGTTCGAATCTCAGAAGGTATGGCTGGCTGATGAGAGCTAATTAGCTCGAAACAGCTATACCAGTCTCCCTTTAACTCTTTGTTAGCAATCCAAAAATTTAGCACTTAGAGATATATGTATATAAGTTAATATAATTGCTTGACATGCTTAAAAAATTTCAGTCCAACACAGCAAAAAGCATAGATTGGGGAATTGCGGTTGGCACTATATAAGCTTAAGAATGTAAGCATAAAATGATTTCATAGCGTTATCTTCATTCTAAAATCCACGGAAAAAAGGCATTTCCTGTCCCTTGTCCCCACTCCTAAAGTAATGGTCCAAGAAAGCATCTTGGAGGGAACCATGTTTAAGGGAAAGAATAAACATTTATTTTGTTCCATTCTTAGCATTTAGGTTTTACAAATGTCTGTTTCTGAAATTAAATACAGAAATTAAAAAATATGGCTGGGTTTTTCCCCCGCTTGCATTGTGGACCAGTATCCTTTCATAATCTTGGCATCCATATCCTGTTTCCTATTCTACAGGTCTGTGTTGGGGGCATGGAGTGGGATTATATTGCAACCCAAGGTCCTTTGCAAAATACATGCCAAGATTTCTGGCAGATGGTATGGGAGCAAGGGGTTGCCATTATAACCATGGTGACAGCAGAAGAGGTAAATCTATCTTCTTGAATCATATATCACCCCTCAAAAATATAATTTTGAAACAAACGTATGGACGAGCCTTCTGTTTAAGCTGATTTTGTCTTGGTTGGATTCCAGAAAATGACATAGAAAACTAGTATGGAAAATCATTCAAAACCAACACATACTTTAGCTAGTTTGGTGCCTTTTAAATGTTTAAGGACTGTAACTACTTGAATTGTCAGTCTGCCTTTTTCTATATGAAAATATGGGAAGTTGCATTCCAATATATTTGTAGAACATCAAGTTGGAAAGCAGCTGATTTAGGAATAAACAGTAGACATTCGGATGTCTCCTGATCCTTGTATGTCATTGGCTTGTGCAACTCACAGCCCAAGTTGGATTACAAGGTATTTGAAAAGATACTTTGAAGATGAAGGGATGAAGAATTAGTAAACTCCTTGACCAAAACTAATAATAAATAATATATCAAAAAATAAATCTTGTGGAACATTCTGCAGCTACCTCTTTATTCTTTTGCTGATAGACATTATGTTTGCAGGAAGGCGGCCGAGAGAAAAGTTTCCGATACTGGCCACGACTTGGTTCAAGGCACAACACAGTGACCTATGGGAGATTCAAGATTACCACTCGCTTCCGGACAGATTCTGGTTGCTATGCCACCACAGGTTTGAAGATTAAACACCTCCTCACAGGACAAGAAAGAACAGTTTGGCATCTTCAGTATACTGACTGGCCAGAGCATGGTTGCCCAGAAGACACAAAAGGGTTTCTGTGTATGTGCTTGTCTTCTTCTTCTTCTTTTTTTTTTTTTACTTACTGTTCATTTTCTATTATCTCTTCTATTATGTGAAACCTGCTGAAGCAAAATAGGTCTGGGGCTGATAATTGCCTGCATGGAAAACGATATAATCTGTTGGTTACCTTCAACTTACATTTTTAAAAGTCCTGTCTGTAAAGGCTGGGGATATGGGGGATATCTAAATAAAGCCTTGAATAGCTAAGTTTTGTCTTACAGCTATGGCTCCCCAGGCCATGTATGAAATCTAAATGCACACCTTCCACTATGTGCATGGTGATCTAAAACCTGTTGTGTGCAATTGTAAGGTTAGCTTATTTTTTTTTTAAAAAGAGGCCAAATCAGCCCTGAAATACATTGTAAAAATACTGAAATCTTGTAAGTTTTAATGTCCTCACAAGATTTCAGCTTCTTTGTGTGTATGTATGTGTGTGTGTGTGTTTTGTGTGTGTGTGTGTGTGTGTGTGTGTGTGTGTGTGTGAGAGAGAGAGAGAGAGAGAGAGAGAGAGAGAGAGAGAGAGAGAGAGAGAGAGAATATGCAATTTATAAGATAGGTGGACAACATCAATAGTTGTTTAGGTTCTGTGCTAAAACAGTTTATTGCAATATGAAAGAATTATTATGCATTTTGTATGTTAACCTTAATCTCTCTTCCTCCCACATTGCCATAAGGATAATTGAGGACACTTTTGTTTTCATTTCTGCTGTTTTGTTCTGTTTGGAACTTTAGTCATTAAAAATTAGTCATTGCATTTTAATCACAGTTGTCCCCTAGGAGAAAATAAGAAATTGTTGTTAAGGATACACAAGTACTGTAAATAAATTCATCTCATTTCAGAAGAGAAGGTTGTTTGAAGAGCAAGCAAGGCTGAAATTTACTGAAATATACCAACATTTCATTGAATTAAATTAATTATAAGTTATTTAAATTCCTAGTTATGTTGTGGAAAAACCACAATACTTACATCAGAAGGGTTGGAGAAAACAGGCTTTATTTGTGCACAATGGTTCAGAGCATTAGCATGACAAATTCTGAACCCCGGGCCACTCCCAGGGAGTAATTCTTATAGTATTGACCACCCACGCCTTGTCCTCAGGGTGGCCCTTATCTACCTTTGACACACTAAAACGGAGAAGTTTATATCTTGAGGCCACACAAGGAAAAAGGAGAAGTTCACACAAACGGCTGTCTTACCACACCTCTCTACACCACACCTCTCTACACCACACCTCTCTACATGGTAATATCTTACACCATCTGTGACTTTCAGTGGACACTTCTTGTAAAATGGTTTCTACATAGCATGAGCACATCTTTATAGTAATGACACACAAGTTATATTATTCAGCCAAGCTTAATATTACCTAAAGCTATTACCTAAAGTTTAATATTATTATTAGTTAAAAACAGCATACAGCATTCATGTTAATTAAGATATATTTCTCATGACATGTCCCTGTCCACCTCAGTTAGAAGGCAAAATGTATGTTTATTTATATGTTACATACATTCAAAGATCCAGCAGACTTATCTGGGTGGTATTTGCAACCTGGATTAGAAGTTCTGATACACCCCCCATGGCCACATGATCACATTTTGTGTATTCGCAGTCAGTCTGCATTTACTTCTATTTGCAGCATCTGCAATCATGTGACTATGATTTATGACTATTTTGCTAGAAACTTGCATTTGCTTCTGGTTCCTGGCAAAAAAAAACACCCATTGAGGAAAATAGGTTCACTTAACAATTGTGATCTTCACTTAATGACCACAGATTTGCTTAAAGACCACTGCAAAGAATGACATCAAATAGGTCACGTGATGATTTGTTGAATGACCAGCATGACTTACAAAAGATCAAATCACAATCATAACTTGAGGATTACCTGTAGATATATATTCCAGATAAGTGTTAGTGTGCAGCACTGCTAAATTGTCTCTTGAATCAAATGATTTGATAGATACATTTCTGCAGTTTTATTGGCTGAAATGTAGAGGTGGTTTCAAGTATCTTTTTCCCAGGATGTTTCCCAGATCTACAGCCCTGAAATTTTTTTTTTAAGATCTCCTATCCAAATACTAAACTTAGTTTTGTTTAATTTCTGAAGTCAAAAGTTGAATAGTTCAATACATACTTGGAATTCAGATATACATTTCTCTTACTACAAAGTCCAAAAAAAATATCAGTGATATCTAATTTAAATATTTTCCCCTTTCTTCTTTTCCTCTGGATCCAATAGCATATTTGGAAGAGATACAATCAGTACGCCGGCATACCAACAGTACCGCAGACCCTGCGATTCCCAATCCCCCTCTACTGGTGCACTGCAGTGCTGGTGTAGGAAGAACTGGAGTGGTCATCCTATCAGAGATCATGATTGCCTGTTTGGAGCACAATGAGGTTATTTCTTAATTTTTAAACTAGGAATTATGGGAGTCAACAGGAATACCTTCTAGGGCAGGGGTGGGGAACCTTGGCTCTTTTATGACTTGTGGACTTCAACTCCCAGAATTCTTGAGCCAGCATGGTTCCCCACTCTTGCCCTAGGGGATACCCACTGAGGAAGCCCACTAAAGATTATTTCATGGAGTGATGATCCTCGCAATGTGCCAACTTTCTTTCCTGATTGCAGTAACTACTGGACAATGGAGATTAACTGCAATATGCTTGTCTCCAGGTTAGATTGGAAATTACAAAAAATAGCATGTTTTTTTCCAGGAAGATATTCCTAAATACCCTTGTCAGAGCAGCGCCTAAAAAGACTATCATGTCATTTCCTTCCTCTTCTGTTTCTTTCCATTCGCTGATATTTAAAGATTTGTCACATAAGTGTCTATATAGTTGTCAGCCCTTCAAGATAGTCCAGACATGAAACCAAAACCATGAGTGCTAACACTGCCTTTATTGCATTGTCACAGTAGCAGAATCTTGCAAGTCTGAAAGCACTTTTCCCTTCTCTTCCCTTTTCTGAGAAGTAGGGAGGAGCCCTTTTGAGATGCTTTCTCCACCCTTGTGCCTTCTGTGGGCTGAGATTTCTCTTCTCTGATCCGTTGCCTAGGCTGCGGCTCTTCCTCCTGTTCTTCCCAGATTATTCTCACAGTTCATTACATCTGTTGTGGCTTATTGTCACCACTTAAATGATTTTCCAGCTTGTGTGTATGTTTTTTTAGGCACTGGATATTCCAAGGATGCTAGAAATGCTGAGGCAGCAAAGGATGATGATGGTGCAAACCCTAAGCCAATACACGTTTGTCTATGGTGTTCTCATCCAGTTCCTTAAGAGTTCGAGGCTTATATAAGCTTTCTCCACTCAACTTCAAAAGTCTACTTCTTTGCAAGAGTTTACAAAAGCAGAAGTTTGCCTTCCAGGACTACATGCTTCTTGTGAAGTTTGAAAATTCAGTATGCAACTGGACATTGCTTTTGCAGAGGTCATGTTGAAGCGGAAAAGAATGTGGGGGTGATGGTGGTTTGAAATGGGAATTTGGGTAGGTGCACCATGATTCATCGTGTTCTTCCGATGAAACACTGTAGGCACACAACTGCTGTTCCTAGGAAGACATTACTGCGCTACGCTGAAAATCATGATGGTCATAATTTTATGAATGGAAAGCTATACTGATGTATACTTGTAGATAGACTGTGGTGAATGAAGTGTGCCCTGCCTATAGAGTAGTCATAAATGGCATCATTGTGCTTGGTTTTTTTATTTCAATCTCTGTGTGTGAATGTTTGTGTGTGTGCTGATTTTTATATTGGAAACAGCATCAGAAAAGCCATTAAAGGAAGCACTTAAAGTAGAGACTGTTGGGCTATTTATTTATTTTTTTGCCAGAAGTGGGGCACTTCTCTAGAAACTGCAGGCTACAGGCAGCACACGATAAAATAAATTGAGTATTTTGTTTAAGATTTGTAACAGGAAAAGAGTTAAATGGAAGATAGTAATGGCTGATAAAATTTGTGGTACATTAAAAAAGTAGTTGGCAAATCTTTGAAGGGAAAAAAAGTGAAAATGAGATGGCAGAGGCCAGGATAAAATTTATAGCTGCTGTTGTATTATCCTCCAGTAAGAAATGATCGTTGGGTCACATTCCAGGTCAAAAAGTACAGTAAAAGGAAAAGGTTATCCTAGGAAATCCCGTGTAGTTCCTCAAAACTTCATAAAGTAGTTATCAATGAAGTGTAGCTCCAGAATGATTTTTTTAAGGAACAGTTTGTTACTTCTGGTTGAAATCAAGGTGAATAGAGATGAATATTTAAACACTTGTTTAAATATTTTATTTATCTAGGGGAGCGGTATGTTTATCTGCTTAACATGCAATTTTCATTTTAGAAAAAGGTATTGAATGTGGCGTGAGTAAAACAGAATTTGATTTAATGTGGAATGTGGTATTGGTCTGCATAATTTAGCAAAGTGGCTGTAAAATTGCTTTTGTTAATTCCTTTATCAAGAAAGTAAAAAGTAAAAAGAAAAGAAAAAAGAAAAGAAAAGAAAAGAAAAGAAAAAAGGGATGTTTTTTAGAGTCACCGAATTTATTTCTCTTTTCCTCTGGATAACATCTCCAAAGCAGCCTCTCCAATAACATTATGCTAACATTAGAAAGTCTGCTTGCTTATTAAAGCAGAAGTGACTGGTGGAAAGTGTTTCTATGAAAAGCAAAAAAGTTATGTATTTTCCATTATGCTGTACAGTGTGCCAAAGAGAATGGAAGGGAGGGAAGGAAGGAAGGATGGATGCATGCATGCCTCAGGCAGTCATACAACACAGTAAGCATAGTATGATACTTTGAACAACATGGGAGCTATTTCTTCAAAGCAGTACTATTTGTCCTTTTGAGATTATTATAGTTTGTTAAGCCAGAAGTCAAATTGATCTATGTTTGTGGTGCAGACTCTAAGAAATAATTCTTTTACATTTTAGTCATGTCTATTCTTCCATTATACACTCTCCAGTTGAGATGTCAAAAGGTGTTTCTGTGATGCTTAGATTATTTGATTGGTCTTCATGGCAAAAAGAAAAAAACAAAAAAAACAGATGGGTTGGTACCTGTGATGCTAATTTCCAATGTGCAGTCTCAATGTTCCTTGTTTTTTTCACCACTTGGGAACTGTGTGTATGAACTGGTTTTCCAGGCAATTTTTACCAGGTGATAGTAGCAGTTTTTTTTTAAAATGATCCATTTAAGATGTTGGCTTTTGCCTATCTTCCTTGAATGAGCATTTCATTTTGAAAAACTATCTTCTTCAGAATTGCTTTTCAGAAAGTTAGATATTTGGCATAAATGCTTAATGGAAAGATGGGGCCATGCATTAGGAAGGGCTGAAGAGACATTTGGAAGTGTTGGTGGCTACAATACTGTACAATAATTTGCAGAATGATGTTCTTAAACCATTCATTTTAACTTTTGAAATGGTAGTCCAAGTTTATAAAAGTGTGTTCCAAATAGTTTTTGAAATTCAAATTTTAATTTTTAAGGCTTAGTTAAATTCTGTCTTTTGGCTCTCTAACGTTCTGTGAAAAAATATTTAGTGTACATTTTCTGTAAAATGAAACTGCTGTTTATTTGGGCCTGGCTTGCACAGCACAAAGTAGAAAGGAAGAAGTGGAATTTTAATATTATGGATGAACCTATTTATGAGGTGAGTTGAAACAATAGCAGGTCTCAGAGCTCAAGGATTCTGCTCTTGTCTGTTTCTCAGCTGGGATCTCTTCTACCAGTTACACTTGGTAGGGGTGGGATGTAGTGATTTCTCTGTTCTGTGCTTGAATGATCCATGGCCTTAACTAGCATCCATCACAGAGCAAAATGTACTGCAAAGTGAAATCATCCTCTAAATATCTAAATTACATGCATTTTGTAACTTTCATGTGAACAGTGATAAACTGTTGCAAGCAATATGATTTATATGGTTGCTTTGCTGTTTGTGTATGTGGTTTGATGTTCTAAAATCTAAGCTCAAGATCAAATTTATAAGCTATGACACTTACAAACAAACCTATTCCAGTGCAGTGAAGGAGAGTGAAAAAAATCTCAATGGCACAACATTGCACTGTCCAATCTATGTACAAACCAGAGAACTATGGGTTTACTCCTTTCTTTGTGAAGCATACTCTTTTCTTTCCTAATCTTCAAAATGTAATTGTAGGTCAAATTACTGCAGATAAACTCTCACATTACTATGAGCAGGAGGGGAAATATTTTGAAGAATGTAAAAGACTGGAAAGAGAGAAGAATGCTCTCTGAATTGAGGATCTTGTTGCTACAATACTGTAGGGACCAGTTTCTTTGCCTTTCTCTTACCTTTTGGGGGTATCTAGTTCTTTCCAACTCAGTTGTTGCTCTATTCTGAATGTATCTTTTGGGCATAATTTTCTTTAAACTGAATTTTATGTTTTGAACAAACTACTAAATGAACTAGTATGTTGTTTGGCCAAAATCACTGTTGACATGATGCTGTGTTATGAAATTAAGTAAGTGCCGCTGTGATTTTTTTTCCTCAAAGAAGTCCCATGGTGCTAAATAAAATAGCATGAAGCAAACCACATAGTTGTGGTTAGTGTATTATAATGCATGCCTTTTTAAAATTCCACTATATTTTGTCCTCATTTTTTGAGCACAGATTGAGAAGAAATTATGCTTAAATATATTAAGAGAAGTTATGTGCCATTTTATTTTATTAGAACCACCTTTAAACATACGAAGGATGTTTGAAACAATCTAAAATGAACTTCCAGGTTCCAGAATAAAAATGTCCACTTGGGTTCGCTAAAATATGTTCCTATTAAATCTGTAAAAAAGCTACAAAAATAACCAAATCTGGTCATACTTTTTTACAGACAAAATACATAAAATCAACAATGTCAAACTTTCTTTGTGATGCTGTTTTCTTGTATTCATCATGGACCCAAACATGTCCGGCCTCATTGTTGAATTACTGTGAGACAATTTGGATTCATAGGCTACTACAGTAGTATGGAATCTATTTTGAATTATTCAATTCTGTGCTTTTTTTTTCTGCCAAGAAAGTACTTGTTAAGATAAATGAGAGCCAGTTTGGTCTAGTGGTTAAGTCACCAGGCTAGAAACCAGGAGACTGTGAGTTCTAGCCCTGCCTTGGGCATGAAGGTTGGCTGGGTGACTTTGACCCAGTCACCCTCGCTCAGCCCAGCCCACCTCATAGGGTAGTTGTTGTGGGGAAAATAGGAAGAAGTGTTATGTATGTTCCCTGTCTTATTTATAAAAATAATAAAGACAGGTTTTTAAAAAATAAATCTAAATGAACAATGCTGCACATTTCCACGCCAGTAGAGTCTTTCCAAGGGACTGAACAGCACTTGTTTGGAAAGGAACTGATCATGAACATCATACAGCACTTGTTTGGAAAGGAACTGATCATGAACATCATTCATTCATGTCCTACCATACTGAAGAGATGTGGATTGAAGTCCAAGAAAATAACTCCCATGCTGCTCTTCTAATGTATGAAGATGTAGTGCTGGAAGTTAGTTTGGGGCAAAAGAATTGATATTGCATGGGGTTATATGTTGAAACAGATGCCTCAACATCCTACTAGCCTTAAGCAATTAAATCTATGCAAGGGAAAGACAATGATTTTTACACAATTTCTCCTCTTCTTTTTTATGTCAGTATACAAGGATTTTTGCAGTACCTTCCTTGAACAATAGCATGTCTCAAAACTGAAGTATTATTTTTTAATGTCAAGCTAAAGTATTTTTTACACAGTAAGATTTGCTTTGTCTCCATCAAGTGTAAAAATGTATAATTGCTGCAGCTTTAACTCATGTACAATTGAGATGGGTTTTTAAAACAATGTGCAGATTATATTTGATAGAAAGGGTTGTTTTTCTTTGATATGTAATATATGTGAAATGAATTATATTATACGTCTATTTTTGCCATGAAAATAAATTTTTGAAGCGCTTCAAACATGAGTTGTTCCATAACTTTATTGAATACTGATCTTTTGGACGTAGAAACAATAATACTGAATACAATGTAAAAATCAATCCATTTCATAATCCAAGAGGATACCTTCAAGCATGTTGCATAAAGTTGTTTATTACAATTCCCAATGGTGTTGCGTGACATTTTAGATCAAGTATTTAGTTGCAGGCATTCATACTACAGAAGTAGTATCCTACAGTAATTTCTGTACAGAGCAGATTAGATTACATCAGGCATGTCCAGCCTTTTGGCTTGCCTGGACTGCATTGAGTTAAGAAGAATTGTCTTGGATTGCATATAAAATATATAATATAGATAATGCATATAACAAACTTCCTTTATTTTGGGGGGTCTTATGGGGCTGTATACTAGCTGTCCAGGGCCACATGTGACATGTGGACTATGAGCTGGAAACACCTGGACTAGATGATCTTCAAGGTATCTACCAATCCTTATATTCCCATACTGAAAACAATTTATGAATCATCAGGAGACTCAACAAAGCATCGTGTTGTTCTGAAGACAATCTAGGTGGAATATGAAAATACCACCAAATCTATCTGAAATCTCTAAATTGCTGGTCCTGCTTCAGTCAAGATTGATAGACGTCGAGAGTTTCCTTTGATTATTCAAAATTCAACTATTCACAGTCAATTGAGTGAAAAATATTGGGGTAATCTAAGTCCTTTGCCCTGTAATAACAGCTTGAGCTTTGAAGGGGGGGGGTAGATTATTACCAGAGAATTTGCTTACCTTACAAGGCAGAATCCTGATCCACAGGCACACTCATTTAACTTTTATTTTGAGAAATGGCAAATAATCAGAACTGTTCAAATAAGGTGGATAGAGTTTGGACCATATTTGTGATGAAAGAGCACCTACTGCTCCAAATTGTTCCTATTTTCAAGCTTTCTGAAACTGGCTTACACCCTCCCCCCCAAATAGATGGAGGTATTTTCAAAATACTGACTGACCACGACGATGATTTCTAGGCATGTTTGTCCCCTTTAATTTCTTATCAAAAATGCACTTCCTCCCTGGGGCTGAGATGATGCATTCCTTCCCTCATTTGAGATATGAAGAGTCATAAACACATAAGCCTTGTAGGAGGAAGGGCATGGCTGCAAAACGTTTTTGTATTATTCAGGGAAAAGGTTTCTTCTGAGCAAACCAATTTATAAAGCAAAACACCACAGTGCTTCCATTTCTGAGTAAGTTGCAGTCCAAAATTACTTATCCCTTTGGCAAATACCAAATTTAAACCAACATCTCTCATCTTTAACATTGCATCCTGGTATTATTTACAGTGCTATATATTTTCAAAATATCTGCATTTAATGAACAAAGCAAGTGGGAAAGGATTTTTTTTTTAAAAAAAAAGGGGATGCCAAAGAGCTTGTTAATGATTATTATTTTTGGATCTTTTGTTGAGATGATTATTTGTTAATGACTATTTTTGGAGTCCTTCAGTTGAGATGATTAATAGTAGTTCTAAAGTGGGTACCATATTTCTATAGTAAATTTAGCACTTCAAAGTTCATTTGAGAAAACAGCTGCTTTCCAGTCAAACAGCAGATTTCTAAATATAAGAATGTTGTCAACTCAGCTCATTCATATATCTGAGTCTGACAAAAATGCCAACTGGGTTCAAAATGGTCACATTATTTGCTTACCCTTAACTCAATCTCTTTTCACCCAAAACCAGCTAGCTATGCTCATTTCATCCAGCTACAGAAGATGTAAGAGAAAAGACATAGGCCATTTAAGCTCCTTTGCCAAGAGACTAGTATTAGTCTCTTTTTTCTAAAGTTTCTATTTAAGCTAGTTTGGGTAAGAAATCAACCAACTTTAGAAAATCATATTACCATTTTCTGTTTCATCATTTCCATTTGCTTTTGGATCATGCCCCTTAGGTTGTCAGTTTGTGAGCAACTACATTAAAATATATATTCTTCTATAAAGCTTTTGAATGAAAATGGGGTAAACATAACTATTTTCCTATTCTGTCAATAGGTGGACACTATTTTCATAATTCATTCAACGAAGAGTATTGTGTGTCATTTTTGGATGCTTTCTAGAAAAAAAATTTGCTATGACACTTTGCCACAAGAACAAAATTTAACTCTTTGCAGCCCACCTTCAAATAGATCCCTTACTTGAAAGCATCACACTACTGTGATAGAAGCTCCATTCATTTTATATATATATCATAGTGTTGCATGCATGTACATAGGTACACTTGTGTGATTCTGCATTTGTCTGGTTGTGCAATCTCTCTTCATGATACTTGTGAGTGGAAATTAAAATCTAACAACTGAAGTTTTCAAGGTCTTCCGGTTTTATGTAATGGGAACTTTATTATTGAGCCTACTTGAAGAGAGTTACCAATTACACAATGAAACACACTGCTTGCATTTGGACTATTGTCTAAAGGCTTGAGTGATCAGTATATCAAACATCCCTGATATAGAACTAATATCATCATGCAAATAGCAGTGAGTTCATTTTATCCTGTCAGCCGCAAGTGAAAGGAGACATCAGACAACTAGTTAACACTATGACTGTGTGATCGTCCATTGTTGGTAAGTCAGAGGTTCTATCAACTGATCCATGCTTTAAAAGATGAAAGGATAAATCCTTCATCTGAATACTGCATTGCAAAGGATGCTTCTCTGTTAAAATCAGACAAAACAATCCTGGTTCACTAAACAGCAGGCTGCACCAGATATCTGCACAGATATGAGAAATGTATATCTATTTGGAAAAGAATTTAGAAGGGCAGGCATATTAATTCAGAGACAGTTTTTACTCCTGCAAATTTTATATTCATTATTATAAGTGCATTTTGATAAATATACTGCCTTTAAAATAAACATTATGCCCCAAACTATATGCCTAGTCTTTTCTGCAGTTAAAAACCTTACACATTCCAATTTTGTCTATTGTTTCTTACAATGTTCAAAAAAGTCTGACTTCTAATATTTCAAGCCCATTTGCAAACAAAAAGTATTAAAAGGCTGATTTGCTAGCATTTTATTTAATTTTCAAAGTTCAGATCTCTGCATTGCTGACTAGATGAACTGCCCGGTTTGGTGCTTTGCTGCTAGTTGTTTACTCCTGGGCCCTGATCAAAGAGATGGGTTCTGTCATGCTTTCTTTCAGTTCATCAACTTCTCTCTCAGATTCACTTGTTTCAAGGTCAGCATCACAGGTGGTTGAATTGCATGTTGGTGGCAATGGACATGTGGTATCTGGAGTTTCATCAGTTTTCATGGATGGGGGATTCAGCTCAATGTTCAGTAATTCCTTGATATCCTGAGAAATTGCATCCTGGTCTTCTACTTTCTGTAATTTATCATTGTGTACAGTGAGGTCACTTGTTATTAAATCCATCGCATTTAAAAGCTCTTCACTTTTTGACACTTTGCTCTGGGATATACTGGTAAGTTGAAGGTGCTCTGCTGATTCATTCTGTAAATGTCTATATGCATCGGACACTCCGGCAGACTTTTCCTCCCTGTCGCAGCCCAAGTCAACTTTTAGAATCTCCAGCAGGTGGCGCATTTTGTTCTAAGATAAGACAAAAAAATTAGACAGCAGTAATTAAAAATATGCCTCATAACAAAAATTTATAAAATTTAAAAATCCATCAAGAAGTTTATCAAAGATAAGTAAGTTCCTACTTATCTACTCTCATTTGCATACTTTTAAACTGCTAGGTGGGCAGGAGCTAGGTAAAGATGGACACTCACTCACCCCGTCATGCAATGATGGGGTCTCAACCCCGGGTTGTCGGCTTTGCAGCCAACAAGCCCAGCGCTTTAACCACTAAGCCATTGCACTGCCCATAACTGGCATACCAGATGGTTGTGCAAAGGCCCTCATGACCACAGCTGCCACATGCTCTTCAAGCAGCAGCTGAAAGTCCAGAAAGCTTTACAGCATATACAGATGACATTGATCCAGGAAATCTTATTATTAAATGAGCAACATATTCATAATTTGTCACTTTGCATAAGTGATAAATGAAAGTAGAGAATAATTATATATAATCATGATATGATAGCTTATTCCATCTAACCATTCAGGATTACAGTTATCAGTTTATCAACTCTGGTTTGTTCGAGAAAGATAAAGTCTTGGAACCAAGTTTGATTCTGGATGACTACATGAACTTATCCATGCTGTTTATTTATTTATCTATCAAATGTATGTAGCCACCCATCTCACAAAAAATGACTCTGGGAGGTGTAGAATTATCATTGCAACAACATGGACATATTTGCCTTCTGCAATTTTTTTTTTTTTTTGACTTCCCAGTCTAGTCTACAGCTATAAGGTGCTCAAGTGTTTGTCTCTATAAGCACTAACCAGCTCTAACCATCCTTCAAGGTCAGCTGTCTCTGTTTGCATACATGGTTTGGATGCCACAAGTCACTATCCTTGGCTGCTTCATGTATTTATTTATGTGGAAGAAAGACCAAAGCGGCAACTGATAGTAATGCATGAATTAGCAAGATGCTTTTTCAGAGGGTTACTTTCATAAATGAGAAATCCTGTCTAATGGTTGTAAATACAATATATATATATATATATATATATATATATATATATATATATATATATATATATATATATATATATATATATATTGTCCAAATAATAATGATCACCAAGAGAATATCTATAAAAATAGAAATTTAATCCACCGAGCTTTCGTCAAATACACTTGACATCGTCAGGGTTAAAAGGCAAACTACGGGGGGAGTCTTATATACAGTTGTTTAATGCCTGTTTCCGGCTCCTGGAGCGCGTCATAGGCCCCAGCTGATCGGGCTGAGCCCTAAGCATACGCCCCACATCAGCATCTATCTCCGTTCCATGGTTAGTTTGAGTTCGATTATATGTTGCTTCGTTAGTTGTTACCGGTGGGGCGTATGCTTAGGGCTCAGCCCGATCAGCTGGGGCCTATGACGCGCTCCAGGAGCCGGAAACAGGCATTAAACAACTGTATATAAGACTCCCCCCGTAGTTTGCCTTTTAACCCTGACGATGTCAAGTGTATTTGACGAAAGCTCGGTGGATTAAATTTCTATTTTTATAGATATTCTCTTGGTGATCATTATTATTTGGACAATATGAATATTCCCAAGAGTCGCATTTTTGTTTTTATTTCTAATATATATATATATATATATATATATATATATATATATATATATATATATATATATATATATATATATATATATGTTTCTGAGGTTTTCGTGGGTGTTTGTATGTAGGTCTTTGGTTGTTCGGGTTTTCTCCCACGTAAAATTGGAAGTGTCTTGGCGACGTTTCGATGAAGTCCCATTCGTCATCTTCAGGCTGGTGTTTTCAGCTTCGTGCTTCGAGGAGCACAAAGGTCCTCGAAGCACAAAGCTGAAAACACCAGCCTGAAGATGACGAATGGGACTTCGTCGAAACGTCGCCAAGACTCTTCCAATTTTACGCAGGAGAAAACCCGAACAACCAAAGACCTACATACAAATACCCGCGAAAACCTCAGAAAATATTACACACACACACATACAAAACAAATATTCTTCAGCAAACACATTTCAGAAGTAATTTTTAGTACTCTTAAAATGATTTCTCATCTATGCAGCATACCTTATTTAAATGGTTTTTGTTTAATTCTATGTGACGTTCAAACAATCTTTCCAAAGCCCTTTAAAAAAACAAAAATAGGTATTACATAGGAAGTAATTGTTTTCAAAAGAAAATTATTAAAAATAATCAACTCCAAAATGTTAACTTATTTTTTAAAATAGAAACAAAATAATTCTCCCACTCAAGAATTAAATTCTTTTATCTTTGGTCTTCTGTTCTTTTGCTGCAACCGTCCTGCTTTTATATGTAGTTTCTTTCATCTTTCCTACTTTTTCATGTTCATTTTTCCTTAAATCTACTCTTGAAACTACCAAATGGCCTGCCCAGATTTCACATCTCTTATCACCTTATATCTTTCATTGATTCTTCCAATCTTTCATCAGAAACCATCAAACCAGCCTTGCTTCTAGGTTTACATTTCTTTCTTTGCTGGACATGTACATGAATAGATTGGTGCTTAAACCACATCTTCAAAACCAACAAGACGTTTTCTAAGTAGATAGCTGTTAGTTACCCCTCTCATTCATTCTTGGGTCTCTGAATGGCCTAGACACTTTTTGTTCATTCATCTTACTTCAATTTACCCATTCATGTCACCAGTAAAATATTTTTTTCCTCTGGATTGTATTTATTCAGAATTTTGCATACTTCTCACCCCAAACCCATATCTGGTTCTTCCTTTATTTACTATTTACCAATGCTTCATTGCAAAAAAATTAATATGAAGGAACTTTAAATATATATCCAACCTGTTGGAAAATAATCCAAGTTTCAGAATTTCATCTGTTATGTCCTGAATAAAATTTAAATATTGCAGTTCTTCTTCTCTAAAACAGAAAACATAAAAACTACTTTTAGTCTCCAAATAAAAACACTGATCAAGCACTTTAGTTGCTACTAACCATTTCCCATTTATGATCTTGGACCATAAATACTAATATCAATAAATGAAGACAAACTAATATGATTGGTGGATTAATTCACCTCAAAGTCTTCTTAGGCATGAACTTGCTCTACGTCCTGCCATATTTTTGTTGTCTATTGCACAAATTTGCTAGTACAAATGTGTACTTTTTTATACAGGGGATCTTCCTGCCGCATCTGAAACAGGCTCAGCTGTGTGTACACTGGAATAGCTTCCCTAATATATTCTCATTGACCTGAAGATATTGCATTCATAGCAAAGATTAATATGCAACTCTCACTTCAATTAACAGTTGAATGAACAATATCTAACAGCACTATTAATAGGAATGTGCAATTTCTTCCCAAGCTGGATTATGTGTACATATGTAATGAACTACATGTATCTGGATAGCAGGACCTAAGTCCTGAATTAGTTTTCTTATTATATTCAGTTGTCAAGCTAAGCAGTATTTACTTTTTTTAAAAAAGAAGCATGTTTAACAAAAGAAACATTTCAAGGGAAATAGCACTAATAATAACACTTAGGTTTATATATCACTTCATAATACTTTACAGCCCTCTCTAAGCAGTTTACTGAGTCAGCCTATTGCCTACAATAATCTGGATCCTCATTTTACCAACCTCAGAAAGATGGATGGTTGAGTCAACCTTGAGCTGGTCAGAATCAAACTCCTGGCAGTGAGTTAGCCTGCAATACTGCATTCTAACCACTGCTCCACCACGGCTCATTTTAAGTTATCTAAACATCAAGCAAATAGATGCAAACTAATGCAATACATACACAAACACTGAACAGAAATAAGCAGCAAATCTGCTAATATGTCACTAAATTTCTGTAATGTAGCTTTGGGCCCCAACGCTAGAAAGCAAATAAAAAAAATGCAGAAGAAATGGAAGTAAAATTATGCAGTTTGATTTAAATCAATCAACCAAACCAGGTTGTGGTGTCCTGTGTCCTTAAACATGTGAATGTTGTGGTTATATGAGACTGTCTGATATTGTGATATGTGTCAAAATGGTATTAAGGGGTGGGATGGAATAAGTGAAAGAAACAGCATCAGTGATATAAAAATAATCTGGTAATTTTTCATTATGTAACAATTTTGCAACTGATGTACGTGGATCCAATTGTAATTTAGTATCATGTCACTTAAAATGTCAGCTTCATTAATGTTTTGCACTTATGTAACATTGAAATTAATGAGTTACTTACTCAGCTTGGATTTTCCTCATGGTTGGGGACTCAACAGAACATGGAGAAATTGCTCTAAGCCATAAGGAGGAAGAAACAGTGCAAATCAGATCCAGAAGGCAGAATACTATGAGCATGTACATTGTTTCATATAAGGCTATGCTCGAATTGGCCTCTATGCCTACAGGAGGAAAGTGCACAGTATGATCATTCTTATTATTGAATTTTACTTAGCTTGCCCTCTTCAATGAATGTATGAAGGTGAGGGAGTAAATAAAATCAATTAATCACTTTTAGAATTATTAAATGGATATTACTCAGTAACTCTCACTGTTTAAAGGGGGAGAAAAAGGGAGAGAAATATAAAACAGTTAATCAAACTGAAACCTATCCATCTACATCAGGGGTGTCAAACTGTGATGCATCATAGCAAAACCACGGGTGCATCATAGCAAAACCGCGCCCGGATGCATCATAGCAAAACCACGCCCACTCCATTGCTGGCAATGGAAAAAAAGTCGCAATATGTCATGACACGTCATGTGACGTTGCGAGTTTGACACCCCTGATCTACATAGTGGGGAAAGACAAGTAAAACCCTGAGCAACCAATCAGGAGTAGCAAGATGCTTATTTTTCTCTGAGTGTTTAAAAAGGAAAGAGGAACAACTCTATTTTGCCCTTGCAATTTTGCCTTTGTCTTCTATCCCAATAGGATAGATTCTGGGAAGTGAACAAGTAAACGACAAACCACAAAGCATAATAAATAAAACAGTCAACAAACATTCCAGTATGTTTTTAATGCATGCAAACAGGTAGTAGGGTTAATGTATCTCTGGTGGAGGAGTGTTCCAAACTGTGTGGATTGCTACTAAGAAGGTTTACTGTTTACTCCATGCTCTTTGCACTTCTCAGCATCCCCCTTCTGGAATTTTGGTGGAGATGGGAAAGTTGGTGCTTAATGAATCCTAGTGGTTTATATATCCTATATAGGTTTTAAAGATGATAAACAGCACTTTGAATTGGGCCCAATGTCTTCCTAGAAATCAGTGCTGCAAACTGGAATCTTTGCCATAGCCTGAGGCGGCACTATAGAAGTTCAGTATACTAGTGACAATTCATCCTGAATAGATTACCTCTCCCACTAGTTATACTAAGATGTACAATGAACTGGAGAAAGCACCAATCCTTGTGTGACCCATGCTGTTGCTTCTAGAAACTCATGTTCTTCCCCTCCATGATCTCCAACAGCAATTGCCCATTCAGGTTAAAACAGGATCATCATAAAATGGGTCTCTTAAACACACAACTTTGGTAGGTTGTCCAGAAGAATACCAGTGTATGGAAAGCTGGTGAAAACAAACCTCTAATTTCCATATTCCTTCAACAAAGGCAACCCTTTATTTTTAACCTTTTGTTAAAAATTGAGATTTTGCATTTTACCCATCTTTCACCTCAAGTAAACATCTGTTCATTGATGGTGGGTTAATCATCCAGTTACAAGAAAGCTTTTATCACATTCTCATTAATTACTAATTCATTATTTATTAATCAAAACAAATATTGTGATTCAAACTAACATTTCATCTTTCAGATTGGCTATTTATTTGCTCTGCTACTGAAATTTTGTTTGAAGGAAAAGATGAGTATTCGTACTTAGATAACTTCATGAGATCTAAACCTTATGAAATACATCATTCTGGACTTCACAGGAAAGCATGGTGATGTGCTATTAGCAGTGAGGGAGAGTCACAGAGCATGTCAAAAAAGAAAGAAAAAGATCCAAACGTTGCTTACCTTGGAGAGGATAACTGAGAAATAGTTTTCATTTCATCAAACATCTGTTCATTAGAAAACCTGGGATCTTCTACCTATATATAAAGTATATATCTCTGTTATTAATACAAAATTCATTTGTAGTATTGTATTATATGTTATGTTATATATTATATTATATTACATTACATTACATTACAATATGATCCACTTTAATGATTCATTAAAGTGAGAGAAAAAAATGGTGGCCACTAAATGCTTTTAAAAAATAAAACAAATAACCAATGCCCAATTAATTCCAGACTTCCTATTTATTTTTCAAATATATAACTGTCTCCCCCTACATCTTCTTTTATTTCCACTTACACAAAATCTAAAATCTATTTACAAAACAGAATTCCTGACTTAATGCAGAGGTCAAGGCCTCATGGTGGAGCCCAAGAAACTTAAAAAAAAAACCCTTGGTCAGACATGTGCGAGCAAAACAAGAGCACTGCCAAAACTCACACTATGTTTTGTTCTTGTGCAAGACTGCATTAGATGGTACTGAGACCCCCCCTTCCCCCAATATCTACAGATACAAGTTTAATTATTAAAAGTGATTTCTTTACTTTTGTTCCACCTTAGCCCTAATGAACTAATTAGCTTTATTCATGGGGGAGTCGCACAAGGTCAGCTATTGGGTAGTGGTGGTTATAATACCACAATGTTTTAGAAGCTCTGCTTAATACAAACCCAGTTGCAGATATCAGTAGAGGCTGTCCTCGACTTACAACAGTTCATTTAGTCACCATTTGAAGTTACAACAGTACTGAAAAAATTGACTTACAGCCATTTTCCATACTTACAACCGTTGCAGCATCCCCATGGTCACATGATCAAAATTCAGATGTTTGGCAACTGACTTATATTTATGACGGTTACAGTGTCCTGGGGTCATAGGATCACCTTTTGTGACCTTCTGACAAGCAAAGTCAATGGAGAAGGCAGATTCATTTAAGAACCTTGTTACTAACTTAACAATTGCAGTAATTCACTTAACAACTGTGGCAAAAAGGTTGTAAAATGGGGTAAAATTCACTTAACAACTTTCTTGCTTAGCAACAGAAATTTTGGGCTCAATTGTGGCCATATGTCGAGAACTACCTGTAAAACAATTTCATTGATCCTTCACATTTATTTACACATCCTAATTATTGGGGGTGTAAGTACTGGTTGGAACAATATAGAAATTCAGCTGGGAGCTTCACTGTGAGCAATGTCACATGTGGCAAAACCAGATATGACACAAATATAGGGTTATAACAATTTCTTCCTGGTGAAAATTTTCTCCTCCCCACATGCAGTTGACCAAAATGGAGGGGATATGTTTGTGATAAAGAACCATCGGTGGGAGAAGTTGGTCTTATTCCCATCTTCACCACAAAAGTCATTCCCATAAAAATTACAGAATGTGAGTATCTATGGAGATTCTTAAGTCTTCTAGAGCAGAGTTCCCCAAACTTTCCGGCTTGGTGGCCCAGGAGGAAAGGGAGCAGCAGGGAAATGTGTGCATGCCGGGCTCCGCGCTAGTGTACATGCGCAAATGGGCTGCACATGACAATGGCATGCGCACTGGCCATGTGCAAACAGCCACTAGTGCCCATGTGACATTGGCAGTGGTGCTGGCATCCCTGTGCATGCGCAAATGGGGACACTAGTGCCCGTGCGATGGTGCTACGAGTGGGGCGGGGCTCGCCAGCTATTCCTGGGGCCTGGTGGCCAACAGGTTGTGGCCTGGTATCTGGCCGCAGACCATAGGTTGGGGATCCCTGTTCTAGTTCATGGCTGTTCCAAAGATGCTTCCCAAAAAGCAACTGGACATTGTTTTTTCCTTGAAGACATTTTGCTTCTCAAGGAAGCAAACAAAGGAAGGAAGTTGTTGTTTCAAGGAAACAACAAAGAAAATCCAGTTGCCTTTTGAAAAGCATCTTTGGGACCAGAATTTGAGAAGAAGTTTGAGTGGATATGTGTGAATGGGAGAAGCCTCTAGTTGGTGTGTGTGTGTGTGTGTGTGTGTGTGTGTAGAATCTATTACTGGCTGTTCCAGCCACCCAAACCACCAAACATTTCTGATCTATTGTTATGCAGTCCATTAATTTTTGGGCATACCTTCACAAAGGTTAAGTCACTAGTGAATGGAATTCAATATAGTACATCTATTTGTTTTAACTGTTTCTAAGATGATACTAGCTTGTTATGTAAAGCTTTTTTAGATAAAAATGCAAGAAATAAAAAAGAATATAAAATAGTAATGTAAACATTGCTATTACTACCATACCATTAAACTAAAAGTGCATTAAAATGTTTTTTTAAAAAATAGAATTGGATAAATGTAATCTTGCTGGAACACTGCTGAGAAGACCTAGGCACACAGTCAGAAAATATTATAAATCCTAACAGAAAGCCAGCAAGTAGCATCCTAAGGATAAACACAAACATATAGGCAGATTATTAAATATTTAAAAGATCAGAAACAACACTTTGAGCTAGTCTGGAAACCCAAGTGCAACAACTTAAACTATGAGGGTATAAATGATTTATCCTTCTGCCCCACAATAATAATTTTAAGTGGCCTCATTCTTCATCAATTGAAGTGTTCTAGTTATGGTTGTAGTTATATAATTCCATTGTAATAATCTAGCAAATGAAAAGGCATGACATTAATTTTTCTTAGTAAAGTTGGAATTAATGTACCAAATCAAAGTGGGATAAAAGGAACTTCTGCTAGAGCCACCATTGTGTTTCTACAGAAAACATCAAATCCAAAAAACATCCAAGCCATAAATGAGACCTTTTAGTGTCAGTGCAACCTCTTTCAATATGGAATGTAACCAACTATCCAGAGCAACGGTCTTCTCTTTATAAATGGCCTGGCGACTGGAACACACACAGATCACTTGAATTACCTCCTTCGTGATCTTCTGAAAACTAGGCACATTTTCTTTTTCAGATGCTTCAGATTCAGCTTGAAAACTACAAAATATAATGATCTTATGTCATTTTTGCAGAAACAATACTCCCATATACTATTTTGAGCATCTATATTACCATCTGGGTTCAAAAAACAATTATCAGAGTGTTAATGCTTATAGATGCTATATACCCATCACTCAGGCCTGTTTGTGAGACGACAAGACAAATGGCCCACTGGAAGGAAAAATATACAAGGAACTGATAATCCATCTGCTTGTATAAATCCTTTTTAATAAAGAAACTGCGATAAATATGAAAGATGTGGAATATTAACAGGTTCTATAGAATAACTATTACTACCTCTGAAGTTAAGAGTTCTCAAGGGGACTAAGTCTTCTAATCATGCCAAAATCATTTCCTTGCTTGGCATTAAATACAATGGAGTTGAAGGGACACTTAATTTGCTAGAGAATCCCAATTCTAAAGAAGACAGTGAATTGATAGCACTCAATAAACCTTTAGATTAGAATGAGAGAAATAAGTATTATTATATTTGGAGGAGATATAATTGAGGCAGAAGACATCTACTCTGTATCTTTGAATGAGGCTTACTTCCTTGCAATTGTGCTGTTTCTTAATAACCTTTATTAATATAAATGGAAATGAAATAAAATATATGGGAGATCTGTGTTTGGTATCTAAATTACATGTATTAATTAATATAATATATTAATATTTCTGGACTAAAGAACACACTAACACAAAATAAAGATACTTTCCTGTAGGAGCTTCTATTATCAAATTCAATACTTCGTTGAACTTTGGCTGTACATATACCAATAAATCCAAACTGAAATTTACTACTTGCAATTAAAATTGTAAATCTAACTTTCAAGACAAGAATCAGGGAAGTCCTAACAATATTGATTCTTGATTCTTCAGGAACATTGTTTAAACTTCTTTTAAAGATAAATTCAAAAGTGACTTTGATCAGATTACATTGCTTGTGCCTCAGTTTACTATCCTATTTCTTTTATTATGAAATTCCAACATTTGCCAGAGCCAAGTAATTTCAGAGCTTACTACTCTGAAGTACTACCTGGACTTCTATGTTGAAAAATAGATAAATCTGATAGAACATTACTAAGCAATATAAAAAAGTTCATAAATATGCTTGGATACAGACTTGTTAGATGGCATGGCACAAATATTTTCTCCTAGTTACTAATTCTTTTTTTTCCTATGCCATTTCCCATGCTGTTCCAGAGTTTGGGGGAATCCTCAGGATAAGTACTGGAGGTGATACCATCATCCTCTTTGTTCTGCAGAAAATTCCCAATGGATATCTTGATTCCATCTGCAAATGGAGGAAGCTTTCCTATTTGTACATAGGCATTTTTGGAACTAGTCCAATCACCTCTGCCATATTCTATTAACAATAAAATTAAGCAGGATCAAATTACATAGCATAGATATGAATCTATATGACAATGGGACCTCTCTGCAAATGAAAATACAGCAACAAGCTATGCAGAGTAACTAAAATATAGGTGACGGCAGACCATACTGCTTTTCTATGAGCAGAGGCATGGGCTCCTAATCCATACAAACAGCTCTTTGAAAAGATGGGGCACTTATGTCATTTGAAAGTGGTGTTTTTCAAAGAGAAGAATGAAATGAAGCAAATACAAGGTCTTTGTTAATTATCTGTTGCCTCATTTTTAAAGGCTCTTGTTTACTCTAATAATAGTCTCTGGATGAACTGTTGTCTTCATATACTGACACAGGACATTTTTTAATCCATCTACTTCTAGCAATGTTTTACACGCACAAACACACACACGTTAGTTGTTGCCCATCTACCAAGTTTAGCTTTCCATTGTTAAATATGAACATGAAGCAGCAATTCAATACACCATACAGCGGGTTCGTGCAAGGTCTATATATGACTTCCTTAAGAAAGTTCTTCACCTGCTTATTTCGGTCTGCGTTTCTGCTTCCATCTGTTGCCTTAGATTCTCCCTTACTTTCCTTCTCGCTGGGGTGTAGTATCTGTACTGTGAAAGAAAGGATTTCGCATCCGACTTTAAAGTCCTTGGAGTGAACGGCTGCTGACCATTGGTAAAATGTTGGGAATGCTTGTCGAGGAGATCCCCACTGCATGCTTTGGAGTCAGGAGTTTGGGCTTTTGAAGAACTTTTGCTTGCTGAAGTGTCAGAAGAACTACAGGAAACTCTAGAATGTAACTTTTGTAGGCTTGAAATGCTGGAGCCTGAGCTTTCAACTGAGAAGTTGGAAATTTTCAGACCAGCTTTTTTGTTATTTGTTTCTTTACTTTGAAGGATTGCGCTTTGCCTCTCTGGAGTCAATAGGGAGCCCAACCCATACTGCTGTTCACATGGTGTCCTTAAGGGTTCCTTGTCTTCTGGTTCTGATGAATCCTGTGTAGGGGTAGGCTGGAGAGACATAAAAACCACAGGCCATTTGATTGGGCTCTTTTCATGAAAAGCAAACAAAGAATAAATACCAAATGAATACTATTCTCCATTTGTTTGCCTCGTAATGAAGTGCTTATAAAAATATTAGAAATTGATTGGACTTAGGAACTCTCTGTTTAGGCTAAGACATTTCCTCTGGCCCCAGAAAGTGATAAAGACTTTCTACCCAAGGGGCTTTGGACCTGCCAGGTTGATTTTTCTCTTGCTCTGGGATATGGCTCCACTGCCACCAGCTATTTCATTTCATTTTTGCTGAAATAAAACATCAGTGAAAGAAAAAAAAATCCAAGCATCCACCATATAGCAGAATAAACCAATGAAATTAATATGACAAGTTGGTTTCTGTTCTATCCCCATAATTGTTTCCATTATTCAAATACATGCTTTTGCAAACAGCACATGAACAAATATTCTGTTTGTTTTATTTCAATTTCCATAAAGCTTCTCATTGGTTATGCCCTTATTTGTCGACCAGTCTGGGTCTACTGTAAATGTTGTGGACTTTTCTTCCAGACCTGATAAAGGCACAGTCAGACAGAATTGTGTTGAAGTATTCTTTTATTTGGCAATCAAGGGCCAATAACCTCTTCTGTGATTAAAAAGGCAAAAACGTAGAAAACGGCTTCTCTATCTATTCTGTAAGGAGGAAGGTCCACTGGGGATGGCAACAGAAAGCTGTACATCATAGCAAGAACATGACAACAGAGCTGAGGGTAGGCACAAAGGAAAGGTCAACTAGGGGCAGTTGTAATGGTGGTAGCAGTAGGGGCCAATTGCAAATTCACTGGGGGGAGCCTCAAAATTTTTATCATGTGACCATGAGGGTATTGCAATGGTCATAAATTTGAGTACTGGTTGCAAGTTCATTTTTTTGTGCTGCTGTAACTTCAAATGGTTGCTGAATGAATGAATGTTGAGCAAGGACTATCTGTACAGTTACATTTTCCTCTGACCTAACATAGCCTTGAAAATGGATTTGGAAGATATTTTTAAAAACACAAAAAAACCTACTGAAAATATTAAAGAGAAATCAAAATTCAAAACACCCAATAGAAGGGTGTTTTGAATTTTGATTTCTCTTCAATATTTTCAATACCTTCTTTGTGTTTTTAAAATTATCTTTTGAATTATTTTTCCCATCAGAAAGGGAAAAGGTTTAAGATTATAAACTGGGTGTACCCTGGGCATTATAAAGACAGCATTGTCTTGCTAAATAAATAACCCAGGCAGCATCTAAAGCAAGATGTAATGCTGCATAGAAATATAGCTATTAAGTTATTCTTTGAACTATGTAGTGTTATGTGAAGCACTAAGACTGAGATGTCATGAGCAAAAGAAATTATAGCTTGAAGACGAAAGAAAAGAAAATGTAACTAAATCTAATATATGCCAATGGTATTCATTATATATTTCCATATTTTCTATCCCTGAAAACCAGTTTTCTATGCATTCATTTTTAAGCTGCTGTATTGATATTCTGAAGCACAACCAAAAATTCCATTCAATTGCCAGTTAATAAAACACTGTAAGAGACCACATAAAGATACAAGGAACACTCTTTAGCAGTTCTTTCGTTTGACATCATTGATTTTTATGTATTCATTTACAACCCAGCATGCCACTGTGGAGAGGCATTACAAAAGTTGGCTGCAGATAAAACTAGTAAGTCAGCAGACATGAAACTTTTGACAGACTATGAAATGGAAAAAAGTCATATAAATTCTCCAAAGCAATAAACTGAACAAGGCACATTTTCTATTCCCAGGGATTCTTTCTATTGCTTATAATGTGTATCAGAATATAAACCAGAAGAAAGATATTCATGGAACAATTAACCTTCAACCATACACATGTATATATGTATATATTTCACACAAATTCCCAAAGCAGCGGAGGTGCTATTAAATAACCCTGACAGCACAAAACAAATGGCAAAGCTTTCTAGTTTTGACTTTCTGCTGAAACATTGAAATAAAATCATGATAAATACTGCTGTCTGCATAAATTTATTTATTTATTAATCCAATTTATATAGCCACCCATCTCACCAAAGGCAACTCTGGGTGATGCCACAAATAGAAAAAATCACATAGGAAAACAATAATATAAAATATATAAAAATCACTTTAAAAGATAAATATTATAAAAACAGATAGATGGAGTATGTCTTACTGAAGAATCTTGTAACACCTGTTTAATTTTGATGAATCAGAATATGCCAAGGACACATTTTTATTGCAAGTTGTTTGCCTATAGATACCTAGAAATTCATGACAGAAATCAAAATACAAACATCAGGATAATTCAATTAAATTTTAATTAATTAGTTTACCATATTACCTCATCTCAAATAAATGGAGGTTAATATTAAACATTTGGTGAATGTTTGGTGAAAAAGCCAGCATCAAACCACAAAAGTATTAATCCAGAAAACTGTATTTCTCTATGTATGATTAGGAAATGAGGTAATATTGAGGTAACTTAAGACCACACAATTTCCATAGACTGGATGTTCATAGTACTCTATATAATACTCTAAATAATTGTAGCAATTATTTTGTAATATTTTATTCTTTACGATCCATTTCATAGTGTCATTACCCGAAATATCATTAACAGACCTATGAAGATGAAAATAATCTCTTTCTCTCTTATCTATTTTAACAGCTATCTAATTAAAAATAAAATGCTTTTACTTTTCAAAGGTAAGTCCACATTTAATTTTCTTATAAGACTGTGCAGCATTGATTTGTATGATTGTAAGTCAAATTATTAACAGGATAACATACTGGAAGGAAAAATGAATTAAAATTCAATGACAAATGATAATAAAAATGGAAATTTAATAGAAAATCAAATAACAGAATAACTCAAAATTAAATAAAAATGTATAACAAGGGAAAATATAAACAGCTATTATAATATAAACCCTAACCCTAACCATGTCACTAACTTAATAACTGCAATGATTCACTTAACTTGTGGCAAGAAAAGTCATAAAATGGGGCAAAGCTCACTTAGCAAATGTCTCACTTAGCAATGTTGTGGTTGTAAGTTGAGGACTACCTATATCACCAAACTGAGAAATAGCCCAGAAAGTATTCAACAGTGCAAATTTAAAAAAGGAAACAAAAAAATGTCTCTTTCCTACCACACTATGATATTCACAAAGTTTTAAGTACTTTTTAATTAAGAACAAGTTTAACATCACGAGAAAGGAAGATTCTACTTCTCCAAAGGAGTTGAGGAAAGACACACTTGCCCACATCTGTATCACTCAACAAAGAGTTTTTAAAAGTCCTAGTTACCATCAGCCATGAAATACTGGAAGGAATAGAAAGGAAAGGCCACACACACAAAAATCACTTTTCAGAGACCATTTCAAGCTCTGCTATCTATCTCTCTAAATAGGCTGTTTGCTAGGAAACTTACACATCTGAAAGCTGTAACAATCTGTTAAGCAAGCTCCTATACTATTCCCCCCCCCCCCCGCCCCTAGCATAGAGAGCTGGATACATATCACTTTTTGCCTAGCTTCATAGGCAAGGAGTTTAAAAGAATCTGCCTACTTTTTCACAAGACATATAATGTACAGAATTTTTTTAAGGTGGCAGAAATACAGTATTTTCCCTTCTAGAATATTTAAAGACATTCCAGTCCAGCTCTTGATTCAGTCACACTCTTCTCACTTGCTCAAGGCTACAGCCTTCTGCCAAAACAGGATAATACAGAAACTAGTGCTTCAATGGAGGGAGAATGCAACCATCTTTCTCTTTCTCCCAATGGCTCATTTTATGCTCAGTTAATAGAAGTTCAGAACAGACTCCAGATTTTAAAACAAGAAGCCTCCTCACTGACATCTCTTATCCCTCAGCTGATTCTTTTTTTTTCAACCCATCCACCCCCACCTCCTCCCCCCTACCCCCCCCCCACTTCCCAGAGCACAATAGAGGATTATGCAAACATATTAAACATAATCTATTTAAGTTTACTATTATACAATGAACAAAATCATAAAAACCCTTAGTTCTCTTCAAACTTTGACATCATAAGTTTATAAACAAAATCATTACTCATAGAATAAGTGAAACTTTGTAGTTCCATATTTCTTCTGAACATATTCTATCCATCTTCTCCATACATTAAAATATCTCTCTTGTGAATGGTCCTTTAAATAAGCAGAAATTTTAGCCATTTCTGCTAAATTAGAAACCTTAAATACCCATTCTTCTAAAGAAGGCAGAGTATCCCTCAGCTGATTCTGACTGACTACAACTGAGAAGAGAATGTAACCTCCCCACTTATTTATTTAATGCAGTTCCAAGAAGGGAAATTACCCGTGGGCTGAAATCTATAGAATTAAAGCAGTGTATTCTTCAAAGCAGTATATTCCTCAAAGGCAAGAGTTTCTTTCAACTCTGATATTGACTCTGATTTGGATTCTAGTATCCAAGCAAGCTTATCAGAAAAAAAAAGAATCATCATGCCACTTATTTAGATTTTACTCAAGATTTTATTTCAATTTTAAAAAAGACTGACAACAACATAGCCTTCCCTAATCAATCTACTATACACCCACTGCCACCCTCAGAATTCAATAAAGCTGTTAGTCATAAAATTATAAGAAAGGGGTCATCAAACATTCAGAAACCGCTAATAGATGATCCAGAAGAGAGTGAACTTTCAACTTCAAGTCCTGCATTATAAAGATAGAAGATACACCATGCTAGTTCCTAAGAGAGCCAGAATCCTCCTCTTGCATCTCCTACATATATAAGGAGGACTGATATTAAGCTACCCCAATTAATTGAAACATGGACAGTTGGTGGTTCAATTGCAGAGATAATAAACTTCATATGTTTCATAGCTATATTCATCATCAGCTTGCTACCTGGCTTTCAACTGATTTGGCACTAAATGGATATACAGCTTACTTCCTAAATGCTGTAGCTGGGAAAGGTAGAGGTAGACCTAAAAGTGGCTTAGGTGTATTGATCGCTTTCCATGGCAAATAGCCAGATATGCATTATACCAGCCAGTATCTCACAGAGCTTAACATCCTGAATCAGAGAATCAGGAAGGGCCTGGATTTCAGTCCAATGTCATGTTTTCCCTTCAGCACTTCAGCCTGAAAGAAATACCCATTATGTCTCTGAGACTCGGGACAAGTCAAAACTATCCAACATATTCTTATGTCTTGCCAGTTTTGTATAGAACCTGAAAATGCTTTAATTTTCTCACTCCTGACTAGCAAAACAGGATTCACCCATCAATATTTTCCGACATCAACCATGAAATAACATACCAGATTACCAGGTTTTGCACAGCAGCATGCAAAATCAGGCAAGGAATGATTAAGAGCAACTGAACCTGCCTGAGAAAGGATAGCCAGAAATGGCTCAGGCTCTGCATGAGCTGCTAGTTACGTTTTAACCTTTTTTATGCTTTGGTATGCACATGTCGTGTCAGATATTTTATTATATCTCAGGCTTGAAAGGGATTTGTAATAGAAGTTTATAATCCGCAAATCCCTTTGGAATAATTTTATTGTTTTATCTGCCATTTTTTATTTTTATTTTATGTTGCTATTTTAACATTTATATAGACAGGTTTGCTAATTTTAACCTCTTTTCTCTGTGACTCATATGAACCCTGAGCTATCTTCTTAGCACTTTTTGATTTAATATATTTTTATCTTAAATTCTTTGTTTGTATGTTAATAACCACAATAAATTTATTTGAATTTATTTATTTCTCTATACATATCATAACATCATACACCAAGTTTCACAATAACAGGGTCCTTCAACTCTCCCCTATTGGTTTGACAATAGAGTATGTCCAGATTAGGGATCCTCAATATTGCCACAGCAGAGTTAACTTGTGCCAGTTGCAAAGAGCAACTGGGCTACTCATAAGAACAGGAAGAGTTGAGACTGAGCCTAATAATCATATTCTCCATTACCAAGAAGTTTACCACAGAAGAGAAGGAGAACAACATGTTAGCTTTTCCATCCGAAAGGAGGAAGACATATACAACACGATACTATGGGTCAATTATCATATTATAGGAGATAACTGATTAGCTTTTGGAGACAATCAGAACTAGCACAGCGTTTGACAGCTATGATTTGAAAGCCATTTTCTGTTTGGTTTGGTGGCATATTCCTTTTAAAATTTTGAAAAAAACGTTTCACCAATAGATGCATATTGCAAATCCTGCATTAGTATGATAAAATCAGTAGTGAATATAAAAGTTCTTTATTCAACAATCCGAAATGACAAGAGCTTTGATGAATGACAATGGTAACCAAATGAGTCTCAGATGTTTAACTTGACATTTCTCCCTTTTCTTTCAAAATAAAACAAAGCAAAAACAACAGCATACTGTATTACCCATCACCAGTCATGAATAACTTTTCTAAATAGGGTGATTATCTGGGAATCTTATCATTCACTCTGTCAGCTACCAAGCAGTCATGCAAGAATTGGCCAACTAATGATCCACTTTATATAGCAGCTTGATGCCAAATACGCCATTATGCATATTTTAAAATGAAAATGAATCCCACCATTTACAGTACTCTCCCCATTTCTGCTATGCAAATAATATTCTAGCTGTCTATCAGAGATCATTCTTCTAACTAGTGTTATTCTATGCAGTGCTAGTCAACAACTATGGTTTATTTGAGAAATTTATTTCCTCCAGTCAATTTCTTTCTCTTTCTACATAACTGGGAAGAGGTATACATACATGAATATAAACAGCTAACTTTCATTTATAATCTAAATCTGTCTTCTCCAATCAAGTTATACTTAGGACCATAATTTTAAGATTTAATAATACTGACTGAGAAATTTGGAAGATGGAATTTCAACACATTTTAGAGGAAACAGATCGGAGAAAGGATGAAGTAAATAATATTTACAACACTTAAGACATGAACAAAAGAAAGCTAGAAGTTTCTATAGTTCAGATTACAATAAGTAGCAATCATGTGCAGGTAGTTCTCAAATTTTGACTGTTCAGTGACCATTCCAAGTTAAGGAGGTGCTGAATGAATGGTACTTATACCTGATCCCTGAAATTATGGCCACTGCAGCGCCTCCACAATGATATGATAAAAATTCAGATGCTTGGCAGCCCACCTGCATTTACAATAGGAAGAAGGCTTAGACTCCCTCCACTTGCCCATCTCCCCTCCATTTCTCTCTTTTGGCCATCCTGCATAGTGACACTCATCAGCAGCAGTGGTGGTGCTGAGGCTGAAATAGAGACCAGGGAAATGTCTATGGAGAGTCTCAGCCATCCAGGTCATGGCTGTCCCAAAGATGCTTTTTCGGGAAGCCACATGGACTTTCTTGTTTTATTTTGAAGACGTTTCACTTCTCATCCAAGAAGCTTCTTCTGCTCTAACTGGATGATGGGGATTATATCCTTCCATTCCCCACAATCCAATCAGAGCTGAAGAAGCTTCTTGGATGAGAAGCAAAACGTCTTTCAAAGAAAAACAAGAAAGTACAGTTGCTTTCTGAAAAAAACATCAGAGAAGTTTAGCAGTCTCAGTCAGGTGCCAACACTCCCAGACCTCTACTTCAACCCCAGCATTGCTACTACAGAGTGCAGCCTCAGGCTCCATGCCACAGCTCAAAGCCTCTGCTGAACTCTGTTTGCCCTGCCACCCTTGCTGCCTTGTGCTTCATTCACCCTGCTGCACTTGCTGCCCTTTAAAACAGCTGCTGGACATGTCAGGACACCTTCCTGAGGCTGCTCATGATGCTCTCCAAATTGCACAGGCCCTTCTCATGATACTGCAGTAAAGTTTCTCAGTCTTTCTAAAGCATTGTGAGAATGGCCCTATGTAAGGCAGTTTGGCACGTCCTGTCAACAGAAGGAGGAAGGCGATATAGGTCAGATGACAGCGGTAGAGCTGGCAAGGCCAGCAAGTGAAGGATGGCAAGGCACTTAACAGAAATTCTATTCCCAATTACTATTATAACTCAAGGATTACATATATTTATAGCAAGCATATCTCTAAATGCAGGTAAATTAAAAACAGGTATTGTAGGCTTATCACACATGATTTAAAATTTGGTACGTAGGAGATTCGTTATTGATGCTAAACAAAAATGGAAGGACTAAATTTCAGCTTCCTCATTCTGAAGCAGATGAATGGTGAGGAGAAAATCGTATTGAACAAACTCCAATTGCAGTCTGTAAATCCTTTTCATTATCATTCTCCCCTCCAGCAAATGAAAAAGATAGCAGAAGTAGAATTAAATTAAGGTGAAATTAAGAAATGTCTTGTAAATAGGCATGAACCATGTATAAAAATTTATAGAAAATTTAGACTTTGTTTCCAATTTACAAGTTGATATAGGGAAGTCCAGAACAAATTTAAAACAAGAAAAAGAGAGAAACAGCACTGGAGAATTTTGCCCAATCCTCTTCAGCACAAATTAAAATCAGAGAATAAAATTATAGGAATTATAGTGCTATATGGTTTTGCTTATCCTTAAAAGGAAGTATTTCTTGATGACTGTAATTTATTTAGTAGAATACTGTTATTCAACAAAATAAAATCGGGAAGGAATCCTCCAGTAATAGTAGTGAATAAGGAATAAAGAGAATAAATATACCTACTTTCCTATAGGTGGCAGATAGCAGTCTTCTACTCTCCCTGGAACTAGATCGGGATACCTGTTGAGATGAAATCATCTCTTTTTCACATTTTTTTACCTCTTTCTTCAGTTTCTCTCTTCGTTGCTGATCTGAAACTTAAGAGGATAATATTAGCTAGGGTCAAAATACCAGGATTAAAGGACTTTTTTTTTAAAATGGATTACTCTGTTTGTGCAAAGTTAAAAATGATTTTCAACTAATGCCATTTTGGGTAGCAATAAATATGAGATAATGAGAAACTTGACAATGTCCTGGAATCTGATATATTATCTTATTCTTAAATGCATATATAAAAGGGTCTATATTATGAAAAATCAACATATAATTTTATTGTATTTAATGACCCAAATCCAAAGAACAAGCATCACTTCAAATTTGAATTAAAATTAATAAGTCAGGAATTAGTCACAATGAGAATGCCCTACTGATTTTCTAATAATCAAAGGTGTTACAATAAAAATAAGGTAAGATAAGATAATAAGGTAAGGTAAGATCAGATCATCACACCAAATAAGAAAAGATAAAGATTATTCTCTTTGGATATCCAACTTTGTATGATCTGGCATCAGTATGTGGTACATATTTGGGAGAAGGCAGAATTTGTTCTGGTTCATTTTCTGTTTTTGTTAATTTACAGTTATTTGCAGCACATTTCCAGACTGTTTTGAATTTTCTTTCTATTTCCTGGGCAATAATCCACTCAGTGTTATAACATATCTACAAATTTAATAAACATGATCTGCTCTACAATTTTCCCAGTTAGCAATGTTAGACTGATCAATCTGTCATTTCCTGGATCTTTCAATACCATATCTTAAAATAATTTTTATTGCCCCTTACAAATCACATAGTAAAATAAACAAACGAACAAAAAAAGAAAAATACATATTAGAATAGATGTACACACAACAAAAAGCTAAGTTCTTAGATAACAAGTGATCAGACAAAATAATATTGATCTTTCCATAACATCAAGCCTCATTGTTCTTTTCTTGAAGAAAAATACATTTTTTTCCTCCAGTCATCTGGCATTTTAACCAAGATCTCAACAACAAAAGTTCAGCCAGACTTAATGAATTTCTTCTGTACATTAGGATCCAATTTATCTGCTTATGAAGATTTAAGCTAAAGATGTATTTCCTGAACATCTTTCTTCAATCTCAAGCTTCAATTTTGTCTCTACATCCTAGCCTTCCTATCTTCATAATATTGGAATACCCAATTTTCTTTTTTGTTAATTAAGACTGAATCAAAACAACAGCTCAGTTTCTATGCCTTTTGTTTGTTACCTTAAAGCATTTTGCCCTCTTTATTAGTCAGCTAGCATAATTCTTTTTCTTTTATTTTGAACACATCTAAAGAAGCACTTGTTATTCTAAGTCCCCTTTGATAACTTTAGCTCACACTGAGCTTTGATTTATCTAATACCAGCTCTATAATCCGTGATACCTATCTATACTCTTATCTGTGACTAAGTGCTCTTTCTTGTATGAAAATTTTCTGTTTTCAAATCTTCATTAAGACACAGAAATGCCAGGAAAAAATGTTTTAAATAGCTAAAAAAAAGGATTAAAACGCATTCCTATGCGACTAAAATGTCCCACTCTGCTGGATTTCCAAGAGAAACAATTTATGTTACTGATTCATAATCAAACAAATTCTTGCCTAAATGTAGAAATGTTTCTGTTTTCACCTTATTTTCTGCATTTTTGCCCTAAATAATTCTCACTGATCTTAAGCTTGTTTCATACCATTTTATAAGACTTTTTTATTATGTGGAATCAAAGACCTGAAAAGATGAAAATAAAATTCCCAAATCTTCTAGTTCAATCCCCTTCCCAATGGAGGAACTGTGAACTGCAGCATTCTCCACAACAGTCTTTGAGTGGTGGGCATTCATTGATTGATGATGCTTAAGCAAAACAGATATTAAACAATATCTGTAGCTGCCTATCTCACCAACTGATTGAGGTGGCATCCAGTTTAAGATCAAACCAAACAACACAATTTAAAAAGCAAAATAGGCAAAAGCATAATACTGTTGAACGGTACTACTGAATAGTGTGGGGTAGCTCTTGCTATTTAAGATTACAAAACAAAACAAAACAAAACAAATAATCAATAGCACAGCATATTCTTACTAGACAGTTTAAACTGTGCTGAATTGAAATATCACAGTTCAGTGTATTTTGTGTCATGGCTAATTGTATTCATCCATTGATAAGACAGCATTCACCAGAAATAATAGACTGCAGAACATTTCAAATCAACTTAAAAATTTGAAGATGGGAGGGAGAGAAAATGTCACTGCCCAAGTGTGACTAATGGTATATATAGTAATGAATAATAATTCTAATTTACGAATAATAATGGTATGAAATACAATTCTCATTATGTCCTTTTATAAATTATTAACAAACCAAATACTTACATTTTATGCTATTTAATCTGCTTTTTGGTAATGAACAGTCTATAGCAGCTGAAAACAAACAACACAATTAAAGTGAATAAAAAAGTTATTTTGCAATAAACTTAATTGGCTATCAATACATATCTATAAAATGAAACTTTTTGAAGTGAAGCTTAACAGCTTAACCATGTTTTTAATATATTTTTATTTTATTATTTGCCTATCTATATAGCTATCTACTTCCCTATTATATTTGTATGCTGCTCATTCCTGAGGCTCTAGATAGCTAATTGTTTTTCTAAAATCCAAACCCATATAAATAATCCACAAAATATAAATCCCATGTGCATATTACAGAACTCCTTTTCCTGTGTCAACTAGAAGACAAAAATTGTTACACGTTTTCTGAACCACAGAATGGATGAAATAAACCAAAGTTCCATTCGGAAAGAGAATAGGGACAGCAATGGGAAAACCCACTTCCAAGGCCCTGTCAGATGTCAGTCCCACAAGGAAATAAATAGTTGATCTCTATATAAAATATGATCGGGCGAGTAAAAGAATTCCAGAGGAGGAGTTATTTCAAATAATGAACCATGTAGGACCTTAGAGATGAAATTTGGGGGCCTATTTCTAGGACTATGCCATCTTTAGTGCTTGATGGAATCACGCTGCCCAGACAGACCCAAAGTGCAATTTATGGTGGTCCTAAATTGATAAATCTTGCTTGAGAGGTAGTAGTCTGGTTAAGAGGGTCTTTGCACAGCTCTGGATTGGGCATCAGTTGTGCCCAATCCTGGATAGGGAGGTTCGGCTCACATTCATTCTAATTACCCCCATACTGGACTACTGTAATGTACTCTATATGCAGCTGCCCTTGAAGAATTATTTGGAAGCTTCAGCTGGTGCAGAAGACAGGTCATATTAAACCTCTACTGTGTGATCTGCATTGGTTGCCAGTTTGCTTTCAGGGCCAATGCAAAGTGCTGGTTTTAACCTTTAAAGGCCTTCATGGAATGGGACTGGATTATGTGGGGGCTGCCTGTCTCTTAATTATATCAGCTCAACCCATTAGATCTGGCAGAGAAGGCCCAATGCAGATACCATCTGCCAGGGACCTACATTTGGTAGATCCCAGGTAGTGGGTCTCTTCGCTGCTGTGGCAACTGTTTTCTAGAACTTTCTCCCCCCCCCCAACATAAGGTTAGCTTCATCCTTTTAATGTTCCAGAAATTCCTCAAGACCTGGTTATGCCATCAAGTCTGGGAATCAGAGTAAACTTCTGCGAGATGGGTGATCAATCAATCAATAATATCATGCAGACATAATACTGATAAAAGAGAATATTTGTAACTCAGGGTTGAACTATGGAGCCCTTAATAAGTGTTGATGTTACCTAGTTGGGTAATGAAACATCTGTAAGAAAACAACTGAACTCAGAGAGCACCAAGGACCCCACAGACATAATACTGCACTAGAGTCAGCCATGAATATAGGAAGGAAAACAGCAGAACATCTAGAAATGGTAACCTGCTAAAACTTGAAAAATATTTTTCAATTTTTTGATGCCTCCCTTTTAAAAATATATAAGACAAAACCTATTTTTATTTTGTATCTCCAGTAGCCTTTATGGAGAATAATAATGAATGCAAGACTGCCATGGTATCTTGAGGTAAAATTTCTGGTCTTCATCTAACACTCTGTATATTCCATAATAAAATATCCTTTATATTTAGCAGTGATTTTTCTCACCTTAGGAGAGCTTAAACAAAAAGTGTATACTGAAGGAGGTAACAATAGTATACTGAGCTGTCAGCTGGATCAGCAACATGTTAGTTAGAATTATCGATTAAACCACTCTGGGTTTCATCTGAATTAATCTTAGGAACTCAGTCTTAGAAGCTATTTAATAGGTTTTTTTATAATTATATCCGAAGACCGTATCTGCCAAGCTTTCATTACTTACTGTTAAAGACCTCTAGATCTTTAGTACTGACAATAAGGTTTCCTGATCACCTGGCCTAATTTCAAATTAAAACAGTCAGGCCTCCAATGTTAGAGAGGATAAGACCAACTGCCATTTGATTACTTTCTGCCAAGACATCAGCATCCAGGCAAGCAAAGAGACAGAACATACAAGTCCTGTTTACTTAACATATTCCTTTCCTTAATTGCCTCAAGCAACAACCATCAGAAGAAGAGATGAGGTGGTGGCCTTTTCCACAAGTCTAGTTTAGCCTAACTCCTATCTGTCTTTTCCCAGAACCATCACCTGCAGTTCCATTATAATATCATTAGATATCAGGAGTTGGAAATGCCCTGATTTTATGTAGACTTCAGCATAATTTAGCTCTCTGAATGCTTTAGTTCTACTTGTGAACTGTAACAATGGTGTAAGAAGAAATAATGAACCGAAGTGGCAGCTTAGAGAAAAACAGTTATGCCACTGTGGTTTCTAACTCTGCCTTTATCATCTATATCCACCAACTGACTTCCTGTAAGTCAATAGTGGTCTGAATGTATTTTCCTTTTAACTCTACTCATCTATTTCTTTTGCGAACTCATATCTTCAACTAAATAAACTTGAATGCTGACAGAAATGGCTTATTTAAATGTAATAAGTAAGTGTTATGGCTTCCTGGCAAATCTCAGCTTGGAATTATCAAGTATCAGTAGAATTAAATGAGTAAGTGCATAGCCAAAGTACTAGGTTTATAATGATATTCCATGTCTCTGTAGAACATCAGATAAAAGTATTCTGATCACATATTTTCCCTTTCTTCCTCAATATAGCACATTTTCTTTCTATCTTACATATCTAATTCAATGTGGAATATTACCCTCAAAGTATCTCAGATATTTCATCCGTTAGAAAAATAAATGTCCTGCTACACAGAAAAAAATGGGATCCTAATTTATTGCATCCATTTACATATTTGTAATTTAAATTGCTTTTCCAGCCAGTAAAACAACCTCATTAGCAATTGTCTGTCTTAAAAAGCTACTATAAGAAGAATAGTGGGTCATAGGGGTATTCATAAAATAGAAAACATTTAGTTTTGAACCCAAAACAAAACATTACATTGCAAAAATTCTACCATACCGTGTTGGGCTCTAGAACCTCTCATTCTCTCTTCAGCAGTTGCCAGCTTGGCATAACTGCCTGGTCCAGCGCCACCTGCTTCCCAGCGTCTCCCTTCTCTTCTCTCAATAAGCCATCGCTGATGCCATAGAGCAGCAGTTCTCAACTGTGGGTTGGGACCCCATTTGGGGTCGAACGACCATTTCACGGGGGTCGCCAAACAACGCAGTCTGCCATTTTTTCCCCTTTTCCTTAGCTGTGCTACTCCCTTTTATTCTATTGGCTTTTGAAAGCCAATAGAATAGACTCTCTTGAATAGAGTCTAATTCTATTGGCTTTCAAAAGCCAATAGGAATTGTCCAGGCTGTCTCTGCCCTGCTGAGCCCGCCAAAAGTCCCATTCTGCAAACGGTGCTGCAAGTTGTCTGCAGCGAAGGCGAGCTGTCTGGAAGTTTCCACCCCTCCCTGCTGAGCAACTACTAAAAATGTAAGTAAAAGAGGGCCAGAGGTGGGAGGTTGGAGGCCAGCGGGCGCAGGGAGGGTTGCTGGTGTGCGTAGGGCCCGGCGGGTGCCTTACCTCCCTTGGGCTGGGCCAGCTGGTGGCCCAGCTGGTGGTCGGCCTGCGTCGTGTCTGCCGCTGGCCAGCTACGCCTCGGCTGGTGCAGGGGGCAGCACCATGCATGTGCGGTGCTCCCGGGCAGGGAAAGTTCTCAACTTATGACCGGTTGGGTAGTCCTCGACCTACGACTGGTTGGGTAGTCCTCGACTTACGACCGGTTGGGGGTCGCGGCATTAAAATGGTTGAGAACCACTGCCATAGAGGGACATAACTCACCAACCTCCCCCAACACCAATATTTCCTGTGAGAAAATTTATTCTCATTCAGAGAAAAGTAAAAAGATAAAAAATATGACATCAAATCTGGGTACTATCCAAACAAAGAAAAGATGAAAACTCTTATGCCATGCCTAGAAGAGAAATGCTTCTAATCCTTTACATAGAATAGGCAAGGGAAATAGATGCAAGATACTGGCTGCTATAAAGAATACTTAGCTTCTTAGGTTTTCTATAATAAAATGTGCTTGTTAGAGTTCTTTGACTCTTCTGTGCCATTTTCTTCTTAGCCCAGCCCCAAGCACCTGACACATTTCAGTGGGTCCATGGACTATACAAAATAATTTTATGAAACATTTTATATATCCTTAGTGGTTCAGTACTTGATGCACCCCTCTTGTGACAGACACCAATCCACTGACCAGGGGAAAGAGCCTCAATGAACTCAAGGGAATTTACCTCTGAATAGACCTCTACAGGAATATTACTTTTGTCTTATTCTGTAATCTCTTTAAAAGAGATGAAAAAGACCATTCTGCTAAATATTAATTAGGATACATCATCACTTGGAGAATAAATATCTGCTCAATGACCCAGGAAGTGACATATTATGAAATAATTATTTTACATAATTATCTGAAACCTTCAAACTTTCATTAGTATTGACTGGTATACTTCCTATCCATAGACTTTATGTCTGTTGCGTTTTTGGTGAGAAAATAGTATGTACTTGAGATTCATAAATATTTCTGATTAAATTAAAAATGTAATCATTAGAGTGCTGATAACGATATTGGCATTTTTCAAACTTCTAACTGATATCCATTAATCCGAATGTTTATTTTTTTAAAAAAAATATAGATAAAAGGAAAACTGCCTTTGGAAGTACTCCGCAAAGAGAAATGGAAATTATGATCATAATCACAATAATAAACTGTATGCCACCAAGCTTTCAACAATTTAGGAGAAAACACAAGGCTATACAAGTTTTGGACAACAAAATGACCTATCTCACTTTAGTTAAAAAAAAAAAAAATCATATTGCAAGGGCACACATGATCTGCATCTCTAACCAAATTTTTGTAAGAATATGTTTTATTTTCCTATTTTCTGATAACAGAATATTTATAATACTTTATTTTTTTGCCTTTATAAAATTTGAAGTAATATACACTGTTTTCCCCTTCCCACTCATTTTATCCTAACAATACTCTTGTGTGGCTCATGCCCATCTAGGACCTTTAGGACCAGGTGGACATTTGAATCTGATCTCCTGGGTCCTAGTCAGACATTCTTACTACCATACCATATGGGTTTTTTAACAAATGTTTGAAAATAATTCAAGTATGAGTGTTTTTACCTTTGGCTGAAAGTATTTTATTGTAGTGAACAGCCATGTGATCCCTGATGAAGTACTGATTACTGAGTCTGCAGGAGGAGGAGTCAATGCAGAAAGCTACCAAAATAAAACATATCTGAGCATTAGGATAAAATGCCAAAAATCTGGATCCACAATTGCAGATACAAGGAAAAACTGAAAATGTGAATAAAAGTGGCATTAAAATGAAATAAACAGCATAACAGACCTGGATATTGTTGCATACTGTTTTTATTGGAATGAATAAACTGTATGAAAAAGGGAGAATAATGGTGATCTTGTCCAATGCCCATTATGAGAAAGCAGCAATGATCTAGCCACAGAACCTAATTATTTCAATGATTAAAAATATAGTCAAAACTTTTCTGACACAAATTGAAATTGTCCAAGCAATGGTAGTTAAAACATTTAAAGTACTTAAAACAGAGAACTAGATGAAGATGAACTAAAAGAAACCAGACATACTTAAACTAAACCAACCTATTCTAAATACTTCATTTAATCTAAAACGTTATTAAGTAAAAAGTAAAACCATAAAACAAAATTTTTAGATTGAACCAGAGAAAAAAGCTCACCCAAGTTCAGAAGGTGGCAGTTTGTATATGAGATCTTTCTTCTTCTCACATATAAGAGAATAAGTAGATTAATGCAATCCTTGGCAGAGAATCTTTCCCAAGATTTATATAACATTCTCTGAGGTTTATTCTATATAAAAGGTGCTTACTATATTTTCCAGCGTATAAGACCATGAAAATCTTCTCAAAAGTTGGGGGTCGTCTTATACACCCAGTCATCTTATACGCCGGAAAATACGGTATTTTATTACAGGAATATTTTTTTTGTAAGTCTTATTTAAAATGGCCTGAGAAATGATCAGGAATTCTTGATGCCATAGCATTGTTTGCAGGTGTAGTTTTCAAGCTGAAAGATTCTACAAAACCCTCTGTGAAAGCACTACATTTTAAAAAGTTTAAGTTACTACTCCTATTTTTTTAACTTAACGTTATAAAAAAAATAATTAAATAAATTAAATTAAACATAATGATCTTTCATTAGCCACATCTATTTCTTGCTATGAATTAATTTAGATTACAGGGGTCAAACTCGATCGCGTCACGTGACGTATCATGACTTTTTTGCCTTTGCGGAGTTGGGGTGGGCGTGGCCAGCGTGTGACGCATCCAGCCCGCAGGCCACCAGTTTAACACCCATGATTTAGATTAAACAGGATGCCATTTCTTCCAGATCCCTTAATGCTTTAGATATGAGTGGGCTTCAGCTGTATTTGCTGGGACCATAGATTTCAAGGGGGTCAGTGGACTGCTATCAGCAGGCTTATTCAATGGTCTTGCTTTTTTGATCCTTTTTGGCTTTCTTAGTTTCTTAATACCATCAGAGTTCATAGCTTGTGCTAAGTAGCAGTTCCAACAACTAATCATATATTAAATAAATAAGTAAACTAAAATCAACCCTCACACAAGACTGAGATTCTTCTGTTACTGAGCCATGAACAAGATGAGCGCTAATCACAGAGCCATTTCAGCAATGCTTCTGCCAAGAAAAGTTTATGTCTTAACAGTCAGTAGAGCAGCACGTATCCATGCATGTGAAACTAGCATGACATCCTCAACATAGCCACTCCAAGAATAGACCCATTATGAAGTCAATGTGATCACTCTGAGGTAAAGAGGCTTAAGGACTTCAGCTTGAAGGTTCTGACAATTTCATGCTAATGAAGACAGAAAGCACTGATGGGACAAGTGGTGAGAGAATTTATTTAAATTTACATAAAATAAATAAATATGACAATTTTAATTCACTGTGTTTTGAAAAAAGAAGCTAAATGAAGAACTACGATAATACTTTGTATACATTTTTTGAATTATTTAAGTTACATGGTTTTCAAAAATATCTAGTTATGCTTCTTTAACAGTTTTCTCTAGATTGAAAGTTGTATTACTTATTGCTAAAAACAAGATCAAGATGGCTAAATATCTTCCTTTAATAACATTATTAGGTTTAGATTTAATTTCTTGGTTAAACTGATTATACTGCTAAATTTTGTCAAACTAATGCTTAAATAAAAGGCCTGTAGCACTCTATGCCTAGTATGCTTTCCAAATAAATTATTTATCGCATCACATAAATTACTTACCATTACTTTTTGTACTTAAATGTCCTTTGAATGGGCTTGCTAGTCCATATCTAGGAATGGTCATATACTCAATTACTGAAAGAAAAAATAAAAAAAAACTAAGTTTAGATTGTTGTAATTGCCTGTTAAAAATCTGGGGCTGTAGGATTTTTTTTTTTTAAAAAAAAACACACCTACTTTAATATTTTGCTATCAAGAAAGTAGATGCATTAATGGAGAATGCTATGCTTTCATAGGCTTAAGTTTTTATGCAGATGCTACCTAGAGTTTAGATTGCAATGAAAGCAAATGGCATATTTTTTTCTTTTTTATAGAGAATGTCTACTATATTTACTATAATTTTAGCAACTTTATTATGGTGGAAAACAATATACAAGCAACCAATGCAAACGCTTTTTCAGCAAGAAATATTTAAAGTTTAACATTAAAATTCAGGGAAAATATAATAGTTCAGCAATTAAACAAATATTAATTTGAGAGTAATTCTGGTCCAAGGCCAGAATGTTTGTTAGTTTGTCAGTGTTACAGTTAAACAAGCACTGTGTGGTAGCTATACTGACTCAAAAGAGCAGACCAAAGGCTGTATAAAATGAATCTATTCAGCTCTTGAAAATTTTACTAGGAAGGACAGAATGGGATTTCTGCAATGAAAGAATAACACTATATCTCTTCTAACTTCTCATATAGTCCTGGCTGAACTGCTTGGAAAGATGTCCTTTTGCCTGAATGTTATAAAAGAACTTCTTGGGATGTATGCACAGTTGGAAGTTCCCATTTGAGTTTTACTTTAGATGTCACTCGTTAGCTTACTTTGCTAATAGTGATGCAAAAAGCTACAAAGACTATAAGTAGTCCTTACCAACTGCCTTGTTTAATGACAAAAGTGTAAAAAATAGTGTAAAAAAACAAACCCAAAGCTTTGCAACTAAACTTCTTGTTTATGATCACTGCAACATCCTGCAGCCATTTGATGGCATCTGGCACACATTTATGACTGTTGCAAAGTCTTATGGTCATGCTATTTGCAAGCTTCGCAACTGGCTTCCCAGAAGCAGAATTAATAGAGAAAAGTAATGTGATGACTCACTTAACAACAGAATGGAAGGTGATGTTGTAAGTCCATCTCTGTCACATGATTTTCTGTGCTTAGCAACACGTCCCATTTGTGGTTGCTAAACAAGGACTACCTAATTTTTTTCTCTGGTCAGAAAGTTCCACTGCTATAAATTTGCACCTGGATAACATCATTAATAAAAACTTTTCTCAGAAAGAATAACTTTCTCATTAATATTTTTAAAGTAGTATTTCCTCAGTTGTGTTATACATGCTTAGTAGGAAAGACAGGCCATTAGGTGAGATCTTCCACCTTTTATTTTATTTATTTATTTAAAACATTTATATGGTTGCCCATCTTTCAGACAATTTTGGGCAACTTTCAATAAAATGGAATATATATAGATCCTATTTTGCATGAGAAAGCTAAGATAGTACAGAAAATTCTTTCCATTCTACAAAAACTTTTAATATGGTATATCTTTAGGAAATTACAACATCTATTAGGCATAGTCATTTATCTTTCAGGATATATTTTATAGATATTCTGGTATCAAGAAATTATTTCTACCTAAAGATGAAGAAGACTACAAATGCATGAATAGCAGTGCATGCTCTTGGTTCAACAGACTTCAGACACAATGGTCAATTTTTTAATATGAATTCCATCAATGAACTTTTCCCATTTCATGGATAAATATCAGGGGCTGACCATTAAAATGTATCTACTGAATTGAAATATTACTGCAAACAATCCCATTTACAACAACTGCATAATTAAACAAATGACACAAATGATGTAAATGAAATACATTTAGACTTAACACCACACTCACATTTAATGGACATCACTCCTGAATGATCTTGCCTCAAAAATCACATTTGTTGTGTTTGAACAAGCAAGTTTCCAGGGCAAAATAATTAAGGTCTTGCAAAATACTAACACCACAGAAAAAATACTATACATCATTTATTTCCTACAACTATATACAAGTAGTCCTTGACTTACAACAGTTCGTTTTGTGACCATTCAAAGTTACAACAGCACTGAAAAAAATGACTTAAGACCATTTTTCACACTTATGACTGTTACAGCATCCCCATAGTGATGTGATCAAAATTCAGACCCTTGGCAACTGACTCCTATTTATGACAGTTGCAATTTCCCAGGATGATGATCACCTTTTGCAACCTTCTGACAAGCAAAATCAATGGGAAGCCAGATTCGTTTAACAATTGTGTTATTAATTTTAAAAGTGCAGTCAAGATTGTAAAATGGGGCAAAGCTCACTTAACAGATGTCTCACTTAGCAACATAGATTTTGAGCTCAATTGTGGTCATAAGCCGAGGACCACCTGTATCTCACCCTTCGTCAGTTGTTCTGCAGCAAGTAATGCAAAAAGATGGAGGGGCTGATGTCCACTGACAATAGTGCCTGGGTGCATTAAGTCTTTGAAAACCCTGCTTGCTGGTGCCAAGTTCTTGCCCTTAGTAGTGGATTAACAAGTCAGAAAAAGTATCTGATTTAGGATAGGGAATTTTTTTCCCTATGCTTTAGCAATTGCTGCTGCTGCTGCTGCCGTGGAGATAGATGATCAGGCTGGGAAATCCCCACGCTCCTCGTCCCTTCCCTGCGTTATCTGGAGCAGGCCAGCACCGTTGAGGATGCTTTCCCACCACCGCTTTCCCTCCCCCATGAGCCCAGAACGGCGCATTCTGGAACGGTTGCGGAGCCTGAGAAAGCAGTGCATGCTGGGTCACAGAAGCCCAGCCTGTGCGAGGAGGTGAAGTCGCGTAACCTTCGGCGGCGCGAGGGGATCAGGTCCCACGGGATGCTGGAATCTGGATCTTAGTCGCCGGCCACCCACACACCAAGTACTTCGGATGAGCGGGACAGCCCTCTCTCCAATTGCAGCGGGCCGGGAGCTCTAGAAAAGAAGGCGCTCGGCAGCGGTGCCAATCGGGACCTTAGAGTGAATACTCGGGCGCCTCCTTCCCCTGCGCTACGGGAGCAAATGCCCAACCCCGCTAGGCCTCTGCGCGCTACCTGGGCTGCTCCGCCTCCTCCTGCGCTCGCCACTCTCGTCCATCCTGACTCCCATGTTTCTGCTCTAGAGTCGGCTCTTCGCCGTAAGCCCCGGCGCCTCCCGGTTGTTTTCGTTTCCCTCCTCCCTGTCTCTGCGCAGGGAAAGCAAGGCAAGAGGAGGGCCTAGTCGGCGGCGAGGTTGCTATAGCCACCCTTGCTCCCTGCCGCCGGGACGTCTTAGGCTCAGGAAGGGCGGGGAAGGGGCGGGGAAGATGGGTAGAAAAGCCGTCCCATTCCGGGCATATGGTCTCTGGGAGAAGCCTTCAATCTTTCTCGCCCGGCGTAGCCTGATGACATCGCCCAATAGAGAGTAGTCGAATTTCCCGCCCTTAAATGTTAGCCATAGGGACAAGAAATCAGATTTGCAGTTTCTGGAGGACACCGGGTTGGAAGAAGCTGTCGAAAAGGAGGAAGATTAAAGAAGGGGAGTGATAAAAAGGATCTGCCTCGATTTATCGTGCCATCCTATACATACCTACTTGGGAATAAAGCCTTAAGGCCTCCAATGGGACGTTTCTAAAATGGTTATCTTTAATTTTGAGTATCATGTGTAGAACACCACTGAGCACACGCAAGGTTAATTCCGCAGCAGTACACAGGGTAAATCAGTCAATGGTACTAATCAACTAAAGTCACAAAGCTGAGCTTGTTACTTTATGGCTGACGCTTGCTCAGGAAGAGGCAGCTTATAGATAATAAAAAAGCTGGACAGTATTTGAATTTAAGGGCTATGCCTGCTGGATAGAAGACATGAAGACAAAAAAGCACACATATCTATGTGCACTTGTCTGGTGTAAGTAAGTTTCATTGGCTATAATTGGCATTGCTTTTAAGAAAACTTGCTTAAAATTGTATAAGAAAGTGTTGTCTGATGCTGAGGCAGATCAAATTTTTACAGGTAAATCAAAAATCCTTTTCTACATTATAAAAAATAAAAGTGTATTAATGCAGTTCTGGATCTTAGACATCCCAATTTACTTGGAACGCTATTAGGAAAGGGTAGTAAGAGATAGGATAACAAGACGTTAGTAGAAACCTTTTTGATTTGCTAAGAAGCCTACTTCCTCCTACATTCCATTCATTCCTGTATAGTAATGGTGTGGTGAGAGGAGAGTTAGTTTTGATTTTGTTTCCAGCTACTACCAGTATTGCTTAACACAATTTGGTAATATAGGAGATACTATAGCAATGCCTATTCATACATGAACAGGCATTGTTACACACTGCATGTAATGTAATGGAATGTAAGAGAAGCTTGTCTCAAATTAAATTAGCAATTCCAGCTTCAACAAATTCTAACTTCACTCTATCATGTCCCCACCCTATTTTTATCAATTCCACTGGCAAAGGGAGTTTTTTTGGAATATTTCCATAGTTCTGTTGATCTATCTGCCTGTAAATGGATATTGCTACATGCTAAACATCAAAGAATGTTCAGATTAGGATTCCTAGCATATAAACATCGCTGGAGCAGGGTCCGCAAGATTGTCTAGACACCACACATCCTCTTCACAATCTGTTTTCCTTGTTACCTTCTGGGAGAAAGTATCAACCTTGTGAACTCTAAAGCAGGGTTTTTCAACCAGTGGTATGGGTACCACCTGTGGTACATTGGCACCTGGCAGGTGGTACACGACCATCCTAGAAAAGTGGTAGCGGGGGAGAGGAGTGAGCTGAACCAGTGGCAGCACCGCACAAGCCTGAGCAAGAGATGGCTGAAGCTGCAGGGCTGTCAGGGCTCAGTGGAAGCGCCAGGATCAATGCCGCTTTCCAGCTGATTGGCGCTTCTTCGGGGCTGTCAGGGCTCAGTGGAAGTGCCAGGATCAGCGCCAGGCTCCAGCTGGAGCTCGGCGCTGATCCTTGTGCTTCTGCTGAGCCCTGAAGAAGCACCAATCAGTTGGAAAGCAGCACTGATCCTGGTGCTTTTGCTAAGCCCAGAAGAAGCGCCGATCAGCTGGAATGTTGCAGCATCTCCAGGGTCTTGTGATTTACATTCAGATGCTTGGCAACTGATTCATATTTATGACGGTCACAGTGTCCCAGTGTGAAGTGACCAAAACCTGCTGCAACCACCCAGCAGATGGGGGAATAAAAACCAAACACCCCCCCACCCCACCCCCGCTGCCAATCCTCAACAGAAATGCTCACAACAATGAAAACCTTGGATAGGAGGAAGAGCGCCGCCAGGCGCTGTCTTGCTTGGCTGTGGCTTGGGGGGCACTTTTTTCAGTGCCATTGTGTAACTTCGAACAGTCACTAAGCGAACTGTTTTAAGTCGAGGACTACCTATACTTTATCACTTTTTTCCTTTTTGGGGGGGTCATCAAGTTTTTGACACCTTGCTAGGCAACTGGTGGTACTTGTGTGTTGCCATATCCTAAAAGTGGTACAATGGGTGAAAAGGTTGAAAAGCCCTGCTCTAAAGCTTCCTCTTTCGGTTATGTATTCAAGATGGACAGTGATTAATATTTACATGTTATTTATATGTAAGGGTGTAGGTTTATACATATGTTGTATATAGCATGATTAAATGTGTGTTATGTATGTGTACACTTTTGATAGCAAGCAACAAAATTTCATTTTTAATGTGTGCCAATGTGCCCACAGTAAAAAATGACAATAAAAGTTATCTAATCCTCTGCTGAGTACCAGTTATGCCAACATTTGGCTTGAACAGTTGCTTTGCATATTATGCAGAGGTAAAATAAATGAAGAATTCTATAGAATTCAGGTGGTTTTATTGGTTCTATAAGTCTAATAATGGCTTTGTCTTACTGTTATTTTAATTTACTAAGAGCAAGCTCCAGAAATGTCATAAAGTGATATGGTTGATTGACAGTCCACAAATGAACAGAGACCTAGTTTCATTCACACTGCATTTTTAAAAAAGTCTCTGACAGCATACTACGCATTTTAAGAGTATTCCAACTATTCCCTTGTTACTGGGCAACATATCTCTATTACCTAAGGAATGTCTAAGTTCTACTTCTTCCTTTCTGTCAATAGCCACTATTCATTAGAATGTCTCTTGTTGCAAAATTCTGTTTTTTCAGCAGAATGACAGCAGCTTGAATAGGAGCTTCTTTAACTCCTTTCACTTATTTGACTCCTTTCAAAGTCAATGCACACATGCATGGAATGGCCTTTAGATTAATCTTAGTTTATTTATGGAAGAAACAGAAAGTTGAATGTGTTATTGATGCTATTTCCTTAAAAGCAAGCTGATGAATTTGTTATAATCTTATCTTGACTATTGTACTGATACCTTTATTGTACAATGAATTAAACTGTGTACTCTATTAATATGCATTCCTTCAAATAATACACAAGATCAAGGAAGCCAATTATTTACCACAAAATTGACTTAACTTTTCTAATATCTGAAGATAATTATAAATTATTTGGAAGAATCTAATGTCCCAGAATCTGTGAGTTAAAATGGCAGTAATTTATTATTACCTCAGTGACTGGAATGTAAAAATCTCTATTTGCCTCTGGATTTTCCATTGAAGTAGACCATTTTTCCATTTTCTTTTGCTAAATCCTCTAGGTGTATCAGAGTAGAATTAAGGACATGAGAAATTTCTGCTATACGTTATTTCTTTTTGAAATGCCAGACATTAAACAACACCAGTGCTAATTAGTAGCATTAGGAGAACAAATCAAGAAGTTGTGAATTTGATTTTAGTTATCCAAGCCAAAAATTCTGAGTTTATGTCTTCTGCAATATGACTCTAGCCTTATGTTCCACATGCAAAAGCTTATTTCTTAATTAACCATTAAGAAAATGTATGCCCCCAAAGAATGGTTGCATGGTTTAAATGTCTTAAATCACAAAGTAATAGCCTAAATTAAAAAAATATAGGCCTTTGTGGCACTACAAAATCAATAAATTTATGGTGTGATTCATTTGCATACCTTTGAATTTAAAAATATATTCCTCTAATTTCTCACTGCAAGTGAACACGTCTTAATTATACATGTTTTGATAGAACTAGATCTAAGCATTCTTCTCCAAAGTTAGAGGGGGGAGAACCTGTAAATACCAAGGTCAAAATGTACATGTACAAAGAGCACATTTTGTGATATTGTAGGTACTTTGACATTGAAAAAGCAAAGGCTTGCTGAACTAGAGAGAGGATCCATGTTGGAACGGAATGTAACCTTTGTAGGCATGCCTAGAAAATTCATTAATGAAATTATAAGTAATCAAATTATAAAAAAACCTCTTATAGTGATCATATGGATATTGATGTGAATTATATCAGAGTTCCCCAATCTTTCTGGCTTTGCAGATTGGTGTTGGGGACAGAGGGGATGGTTCCGCTGGCATGGCAGGCAAGCATGCAGGCACGCACAACTTCATTTGCATGAATGGTGGGCATGTGCACATGTGGGGATATACACGCATGCACTTGCCCACCACTTCCACGGCTGGGTTTCGAAAGGCTCGAGGCCCGGTAGTGAGCCATGGCCCAGGGGTTGGGGACTCCAGAACTATATGACGAATGCCTGTAACAGTACCTATAATCCATCTGAATACATAGGCAAATGAAAATGCTATATCATGTTAGGACTGATTAAAATAACAATGTGCCAAACACCAGAATATCAATGTATGATTTATGAATAAAAGTACCAAGAGTCAGGATAAGAACTTCCATGAATGCATGTCTATAAATGATAGATTTGGTAGTGTGTCTGGGTTTAGCTGGATATATGTCTGAGGATATATTGCTGTACTCTCTGTTGCACATGTCAGGCTCTGGGGCTGGGCAATCTTTCCAGATCCAATTCCTCATTCTTTGAGAGTAGAGGCAGCTGCTGTTGGCAAATGCCATGTGGATCAACCTCAGGGGATTAAGCACTCAAAATTTCCTTTGGCTGATCCAATCAGCTCTCCTGGAGCAGGATCCAGTGTCTCAGGCTCATGTGAGTCAGAGCAGGCCA